ATATGTAAACCGCAGGCTAAAATTCGGCAGCAACCATGCCTCTACTAGGTACACTAAACCAAACTAAACACCCACCATACTTCGGCCCGAAAAATCTAAATAGTTTCCGCCATATATATAAGTTAAAAAGTTAAAAAATTAAAAAATTAAAAAATTTCTAACTAGGCACTAGTGTTATCCTAGTGAGATCTACTAGCATCTAGACCATTTACAGAATACCAAGTAGGATTTTCAATGTACGTCATTATGAATTGACCCTATGTACTAGGTAATCTTGCTTCAGGTTTCTAGATTGATATTTCCAATTTTCATCCTTTATACTTGATACAAGATTGTATATATTTCAATAAATATCCGACATATCATCTCCTCGTCCATAAATAAATAAATAAATCATAACTTTCAGAAACAGAGCTCGAGAATAAAATTCAATCATTAGAAACTTTGTACTGTATTCCAAGAGAAATTCAAGAGAAAAGGAGGAAGAACTCCCAAAATTAAACAATGCCAACAAATCAACAAGGAAAATTAATACACGCCGGAGAGGTAGAAAAAGCCCATCATATATCTACTTTGACGAATACTAAATGTAAGATATCTCTCCCTCTCTTTTCCTTCTACCCCTCCCTCTTCCCCCTCCATTTTTAACCTAATATCCCATCATTCCCCCACCATTACAATTCCCCTCCTACTTCAAATTTCCATCTTCATCTAATCACCACCAAGCACCCTCTTCCTATAATAAAATCCAATCCAATCTAATCCAACACATAATCAAAGCTAACACATACACACCCAGGGGCCAAACCATCCTATACCCTCCCCACCCCCTCCCTCAAATTCCTCTTCCATCTCGAATGCGACATGGAGGATTTCCATCCCATTGGTGATGGAGGACATGGTAATCGCGCTACTGTTATTTTCAAAGGTATATCCTCTTTTTTCATTATTTCTCATTTTCTCTTTTCCTATTCCTTTATTTTTTCATTCTCTTGCGCCAGTCAGAAATGCATCTTCCCTTTTTTTTTCCACAACTCCAAACCCTCAACCTGCTCACAAATATACATATACATATACATACATACAAAAAAACCAAACTAACCCTCCACCCAGGCGGACGATTCGAAGGACCCCGTCTCCGCGGCACCATCCTCCCCGGCGGCGGCGACTGGGAAACCATCCAAAACACAGCTTCTCCTTCCTCTTTCTCTTTCTCCTCCTCCTTATCCACATACCCCTCCACATACTTCTCCAAATCCACCCCCTCACTCCAAACCGCCCACCTCGACACACGCTACAACCTCCTAACACACGATAACCAGTGCATTTACCTGCGCACCACAGGCGTACGAACCGGACGGCGAGAAATCCTTGAGGCACTTGGAGAAGAAGATAAACATTCCGCAAATGAATATAAGATGCGTTTAAATCTGACGTTTGAATGTGATGATGCGGGGAAATATGGGTGGTTGAATAGAGTGGTAGGGGTGGCGAGTAGTGGGAGGAATGGGGGGAGGGTGATTTATGATGCTTTTGAGGTTTTGTAGTGTGGGGGTTTGTGGGTGGATTTGGATGGGATGAGGAGGGACGAGGAGGGGATTGAATGGGATTTTGGATAATTATAGATTGTGAGATGGGTAATTTTTTGAAAAAGATTGCATTAATGCCTTTTTTTTTGTCACTAGAGAATAAATAAAAGTAGATTCGGGGGCTTATCGACCTTCACTCAAAGCATGTACAAACAAAATCCCAAAGACTCTTATGTGCAATGCCCTTCCCAAAATAAATCATCTTCCAAAGTACACAGGGTATAAAACAAACCCATAATCCCCCAAAACGACTCTGTACTCCATTACACTCCAAACATCCCATTACTCCCATAATAAGCTCGTCCCGTCCCATCTCAAACAATCCATCCTAGTCCCTAATTCAACTCATCCCAGAAACCGAAGTACGAATAGAACTAGATGATGGTTCAGATCTTGATACATTCGTTGACATGGAAGATTCCTCCGTATCAGTAATCTCTGTATGTTCTACACTTTCCCTTTCTCTTTCTTTTCCCTTGCCTTTCACATTGGTGTTGGGATTTATACCATCTGTGTCGTGTATGGAGGTATCTTCGTTTGCTCTCACATTAGACATATGCGTATCAGTTTCAACGTGAACTGCCCCATCACTCCCATTTAACCCTACACCACCATCATGACCATCATCCCCCTCCTCCCCATCCCCATCCCCATCCCCAACCCCCTCATCCCCACTCCACTCAAACTCACCACCATCGCTCCACCCCTCACTCTCACTCCCACTCCCACAGTTACTTCCCCCCTCCACACCCCCCACCAACCTCAAAACCTCCCCCATAACCAAAAAATCCCTCTCTAGCACCTCAGCCCAATTCTGCACATTCCCCAACTCCTTAACCCTCTTCTGACCCTCCCTAACCACCTTCTCCAATTTATCCCCTTCTTTCCCTAACTTCCCAATCTCTTTCTTCAATTCATTTTCCTGTTTCGTTAAAGCACTACTATTCTGATGCAGATTTTGTGCTCGCAATTTAAGCGCGTGTTCGTGGGGCGTGAAAATGTTTTGGATAGATGCGTTGAGCGCGGTGCGCGCTTCGGCTATTTGGCGGGCGGTTTCCGGGGAAGAGGGGAGGGGGGCTTGGGAAGAGGTAGAGGGGTTGCTTGGGGCGTGCGAGTGAGTTGATGTGGAGGCTGAAGCTGAGTGAGAGCGGGAATGGGAGGATGTAGAAGAGGGTCCGGGAATATCGGGTGGTGCTGCGACGAGAGAGGAGATAGGCATTGTGATGTGACGTGAATAAGTTGGTGGTTATGAGGGTTTTTGGTAATCAATTGCGATTGCGAATGTGATGTTGCTGGATGATAGGCGGTGTATTGTACAGTATTAAGTTGTAGACTTTTTGTATGATTTATTAGATATTTTAAACTGGAGAGGCAGTAGAATAATAGAACAGAATTTCCACGTGAAAAGAGAAATTAAATGTGTTTATTAAAGTTGGGTAGGAGGAGATTGAAGGTAGTAGTTATCGAAGAACCATCACGAGGTTGATAAGAAATTGCGGGGTGAAAAACATGGGTTGTAGGTTAGTTACTAGATGCGCAAGGGTTTTACGATCAAGCCAGGTCCATCATTCAAATTTTCCCCAGCCTTTAATTCCGATCAGATTGCCTTTTACCTTAGGAAGAGAAGTTTCACAATCAAAGATGTGGAAAAAGATTATGACCAGGCAACATCAACAAATGTCGGGTTCACAAATCAAAACTAATCTTGATATGTTTGAACATAGAATAAACTGGCAAAGGGAGTATTCTTATTGCTTTTGAATTCATAGACTATTGAAGAGAACCATTTTTCACATGATTCCATATCAGGAACTCCATGCCATGATTCCCAATGAAATACAACCCATCCCAAATCCCATAGAAGATGATTTACTTTCTCAATTGGCGTTGGTAGAAAGCCAACTCCTCTCCCTCCAAAATGTAACCATCAACACGTCCAGATTGTCCAGGTCTAGATGAGACTGCGGCATAAAGACGACCAGCCTCGAATTGCTTCTCCAAAGCGGCATCAACCTTTCCTGCAGCAGCGAATCTCTCGTGGTGCTTCTTCTCAACGGACTTGCTCTTCTTGGTATCTGGCTCCTCAACAGCTTGGCCTGCCTTTTGTTGACGTCTTCGGCCCAAGTTTTGACCGTAGTGTGCCTCATACCATTGTCTGAATGGAGCAGCATCGACTTGAACAATGGCGGATTTGGTGAGGGTGTTGGTTCGGACCAACTCGTTGTTGGAAGGATGGAAAGCGACAACAATCACACGGACCTTGCGGGCAATACCCTCAGAAGCCCATGAGAAGTTACCGGCTTCGAGACGGAGGGCACGGAACTTGCGGTTACCACCACGGGTACGGACGAGATGGATTCTCTTGGTTCCAATACGGGTACCTGCTTCTTGTCTTCCGGCTTCGAAAGCGCGCTTCTTCCCTGTAAAAGTCTTAGTTTTCAGGTCGGAACATATATCAATAAAGATATATGGGCTATCTACTACGCACGGTAATGGGATCGCTTGGCGCCAGAGGCGGAGCGTTTATGTCTGCTGTCACGGCTGATACCCATGATTGCTAATCCTGTGGTATGAAAAATAATTAGCTAATTTTGAACCAAGATAAGGAAGAAATTGAGCTTAGTGCAGGCATTTGATATGTCGCATCAAAGAATTGGATGCGCAACCAGTTATGCGAAGACAGGTATTGCCAGTAGAAATGTGCGAAAACAAGTATTGATATGTAATATGGTGTGCAGTCGATCGAAGAAGGTTTTGAAGTCCATCTCAATTATCCACTGCGCAACTATTCCCAATCCTTTTTTGCTTGACAATTTTTTTCCTTCGCATATTCTGGTTTCGACTTCGTTCTTGATGCTCGATCGAATGCCGATAGGAACCAAATATTGATGAATTACTGACCTGATGATTCGAATTACAATCGTTGTCGTCGAAGAATTTGTCGTGAGAGTTTGAAGAATTTCGAACCGAAGCTTTTGCAAAAATCAAAAACGGTGCGAGAAGCTAGTGCGGAGGCTAAGATTAAGCGAGAATTTCGCTGTTCGAATTGGTAGTCACGTGATATTGCAATTTATCACCCTCCAACATTTCTCATCACCAGATTATCCTTCCCTCAAAGTTATGATTCACGAGCCTAAAATGTTATTTCTGATACAGAAGCTATGCTATACAAACCATTAGATCTAAATTGGTCTTAAGAATACGTCAAAACGACGCGCTACCATTTCCGTTAGCTACAGCCGGCCTACCATAATCTGCCTGCCACCGGCGCGACACAGGAGAATGCACACAGGTAACCCGTACATTGGCTAGAAAAATCTCAGATTATGCTTGAACTCAGGTATAGTCCCAAAAGGTCTTACAGAGAACGGAGTAGAATAAAGGGAGGAGATGATATATATCGAATCCATCTTAAATAACCCCTCACTCCAATTTTCTTCCGTCCAGAAGGGGCTTTACAGTTCAGGGAAAGGCGACAGACAACACACAACACAGTATCTCGACATTAATTCAGGAGCCGAGTATAATCAGACGGAGTTTCTCTGATCATAGGCTCTGCAATCACCGTTTTATTGTCTTTTGACCGACCAAAGTGCTTTTAATAGTGGTTGCACATTATTATCCTGGGTAGTCCAAAGATCTCCAAGATGGAGAATGAAAAGAACATGCCTGTATGGGTTAAGCGATTGTTAGAACAGGATAAGGTAATAACAGTCTGGACAGCAACGGATAAAGGTTTGATCGAGCTATTGAACAGGGAATCTTTTGCTTGATCTGGAAAGAGGAAGGATGGTTGTGTAGAGACTGGGTGATTTGGCCATGACCCCTGAAACACAACAAGTCTGCCCCAAACTCCAGTTGGTCTTTTTGGTTTCTTCAGTGCACCAAAATGACTTGGAATATACGGGTGTACTTCAATTTGCTGCATATTACATCATATTCTTCAGTTTGAATTCAATCATCAGGCCTTGCTAGAAGAGCTTTGGTAGTCGCCAGCTTCAAATATATAACTTTAATAATAGGAAGCTAACAAAAAGAGCAAAGGAAACCTTCCAGTTATCAATTCCTTTCTAATTGGTCTTTTCAAGACCAGGTTTTCTTTTTCCATCACCTCGAAAAGTTAACTCCATTCCAAAATGGCTAAAGTCTTTACTAGACATCAAGTTAGTGTCGAGCTTAAAGACTTTAGTCGTAGATTCATTGTCATTTAACGTTATTGAAACTTGGGACAGTGTTGTTGGTTCCGTTTACTTCAAAAGTTCCTCGACTTGGCAGATAAATCCCAGGCTCCCGTGAATGCGACCTTCAAATGCGAATCTGTCACCACTCAGGTCAGCCCTGACGATATGTCAAGTCTTAAATTTCCATTAAAGGATCGTTCATTCCAATCAATTTGAATCATCTTACTTGCAGAATATACGTCAAACTCATGATATTTCGCTGACTCAAATCAAGATCACGGTTAATTAAATGACTGTCAGGTTAAAGCCAGAAATAGTCAACCTACCGAGACTGCGCTTGATGATTGGTACCCTGTTTTGAAATATATGATCAATTCAATTTACAGCAAGCCATCTACGTTCACCTATTTCCTCCATTTTGACTCGTTGGTCAAAGTTCCGGACTTTTACAGAGCTCTACCAGCCATCTTTGGAATATTGGACGCAGTACTACTTAAAAGCTCAGTGTCCAACGGACAGATTCCTGATCATGCTGGTTCCCCTCTAAGGATAGTCCGGCAACTCAGAAATCAAACCTTTTCAAAGAATGCATGGTTCATGCTGCTGGTTGATAGAAGAGCAATCCTTGACTACCAGAAGGTGGTATGCATCTTCTCATTTGAGCTCTCGCTGCCTATGTAAGCCATTGCGACAAACCCGATACCGCAAATCAAGGGTTTCTAAAGTGAGTTGTTGAAAAAGTCTTGAGGAAGCGGGGTCTCGATCGGATGTATTGTCATGGAAACGATTTTAGTTCACCTCGATGCTATTATCAAAAACTCGATAAATTGAAATAAGATGGTTCTTAAACCCGTTCTGGCTGAGGTAATATCCAAAAATCTAGTCCTTGATCCGAAGACACTTGGAATAGGCCAAGGCAAGTTCAAGAATTATTTTGTCTGCGCGGAAGCTAAATATGCAGAGCACCCAAGGGATATGCAGGAAGGAGAGTGGTAGTACCGCACAGCCGGTATATGCAGCCGTAACCGACTTTCGAATCTATCATATTGCCCTGGCAGCCCAGGAGGCGACTTCAGGCGACTTCTGTATTTCAATAAAAGAATAAAATATTCGAAAGCTCACACGATTACACCAAGATATTTCATCGTTGAATCAATTGCATCCGTTTTTCTGGCGCTGAACTTGCGCAAACCCGAGGTCGGCCATGTAACGGACTGCAGTTCTTTACTGAGGAGTTAATGATTCTTCGAATACACCTTCGAGAATCATGGGTTCTTGAGCACCGAAAAATAAAGATTGCAGTACGGGCTACTAGGCATTCTTATAACACCTTCACAAGCATCTTGTGCATGAATTGGCACATTTTAGTTTCCTTGCCCCATCTTCCCACATAAAATTTCACAAATAGTTGCTAGTTACCCGAACGTTGCAAGCATAGAACGAATCCAGTTTCTTAGCCGGGAATGAATAATATGGATGCCTGTGACTGTATTGAAAAGGATGGAGAGATGATAGGTACAATTTCAAAATACTTCCTATACATGATATACCGTTTCAAAATTGCTTCCAATAGTGATCAACACGTTATCCGGTTGTGAGAATCCAGATCTCCTGGCCTCGGTATTAAACACATTCCCTTCCTCTGATCCAGGGTACTCTTACCATAGTACATTCAAATATCTATATGCACGAAACACATTACCCTTTACATTAAAGTTCTACTCCAAAGTTTGCAAGTCCTACTTCATATCACGATAAACCCCGGCGAACTCAGTTCCCGCTCATCTAATCCTCGGCCGGTTTTTATCCTCTCATAAACAGCTATTTCCAACCACTTCACACAATCTCTCTCAGACCTCTTCCATTCTAATACCTCCCCTTCGCCCCTAATTTTCAGTCTCCTAGGTACGCACAATTCATAATTCCAACCCGTCAACCACTCATCCAAATGCTTATTCGCTATTCGTCCCCATGAATGATTAACCCCATACATACCCATGATTCTCCGTTTACATATCCACTCATTACAACATCACAAATAATCAATTGCATTTTTTACATATATACAAACTGGAACTACAGGGGAATGTTCTGCGGAAATGAACACAGAGGCATTGTATGAGGAGATGCTTTTGGACCAGGTGATGAAGCGGAGGTGCGTAAATCAGGCTTGCACCGGACCATGGCCAGCATTACGATTTCGCTGTAGAGAGGAGCCGGAGGGAGAAGAGGCGATGTCTAGAATGCTTATCAATGGAATGAGATGGGATAGAAGTAGTATGGGAGGGAATTATGGATTTTTGAACGCAACGAAATCTGTAACGCCGGGTTTGATACGTACAGCGCATATGCTAAGATCTCACCTAATTATGAGGGCTATTTTTCTCAATAAAATTTTCAGTGTTGGTGTTAAAGAGCGATCGTGAGATAAATGAAGAACTTGAACATTCTGATATCTGGGTTTTAATATCTGAATAACGTATTTTTAAAGACTATTTCTTGTAGTTATATGCGTTGTCTAACACTACTGCATATAATCCATTACTTCCCTAATCTCTAGATGACGGCTTATCTACTATCTCCGCATCTCATCATTGCGGAATCTAGAGATTGATGTGCTTCGTGTACGCGCTTAGCAGTACAAAAACTTACTTCTTGCGAAGATGCCGCTATTTTTCGATATTTCGCATATTTTCTTGCGATGTATTGTTAATAACTATGAATTCTCAGTTAAGTCGCAGTCCAAGATATTTTGGGAGTACCAGAAGCACAAGAAAGCAGTTTCTTGATTCGCATCTCAAAGAAGTCGGTATCTAAACCTACGAATAGCAGAGATGACCAATCATAAGTCTCTCCCTTCAGATCGCGTGGAGCAGTGAGGTGCGATTGAATTGGTGCTGCAGACGCGATTTTGACTGGTGCAGGGATGGATAATGGGCACTGAGTGTTTATATAGTATGATGCGGTGTAGGGCTTTAGATTGAGGGTTCAATATCATAATCAATATTAATTAATGGCTGGTATAAATCACAAGAAGCTGGAAGTGCCACGATGATATGAATGAATGTAGGTGTGGGCTTAAGGAAATGTGTGGTATACTGATATATTAGAATTCTCGAGGTGCTGAGAACGGCGACTTGTGTCTGTCAAGTACCTACTAGGATATGGTATTTATCTAAACTTTTAGTCCTAGGTTTCATAGGATAACTCGGAGATGTAAAGTGGGAAAGAAAACGGAGGTGGCATCATCTTGACATCGCAGGCTAAATCCGTAGAAATTCAGTGGGACATCAGCTGAACCTGACATGAAGTTTAATATTATAAAACAAAATCCCTTCTTTCTTGTAAAAGAAATAACCAACGCAATAACAGTAGTCAAAAATTGAAGAGATGATAATCACTCACTCTTTTGCTTTCAGTCACTAACAGAAGCTGTGATCGTATATTCTACGCAGTATATGATCGAATAAGTACTATGCGATACGAACATCAACCTATTATTTTCATTCCTCAAAGCATTATCCACATTTACCAGATCCATGTATATTGTGCACTGCGCGGAAACTCGCATTCGAGCATGGCAAGGTCAAGATATTAAAAACTGCAGTCACAGTTAGATATTCGCAACACACAATATCAGATTTTCCATTCCTGTAATTGGGAAAATGGCCCAGTTCAAAAGAGCACCCGTACTGTATACTTGAGATTAGCCGAGGGGTAGCATCTATTTTCGCCACGACATACCCATTAGCTTCGTCTCACGTCTCACGTCACACACAAAAGTACAGGGCTTAGTATCATCAATACGAGAGAAATAACGATAGCTCGGGTTCATCTAAAATAATGAGGTATTGATCCTAACATAGCTCGGTCCTGAATGTATCCTGATTGAGCATTATTGGTATTTTTTTAGCTACAGATCGGATGTGACTATTAAATACTTGATGAGACATTGCGAGGGATTGAAACTGTTGGCTTACTAATAAATTTGTGTTAGCTGCAGTCGCCGATGGTGGTCTGACTGCTGACATATTGTTTGAGAAGAAGTGTTGGAGATGAAAAGGGAAGGTAGTTGTCAGAACCCCGTTGCCATATTATTCCCCCTTGGAGAGTATCAATAAAGTCCAAGGAATTTCAGATGGATCTACTGGGCAGTAGGGCATTGTGCCCATGGTCATATGAGCGTTTACCAATCGTTGATCTGGAACTATTATTATCACATTTGACACAAAAGGGAGATCGGGTGCTACCTAGATAGGTAGTATTCCTTGTTAATTAAAGAAAGGTGCAAGGAAAGCAGCCAAGCTCCAATCAATGTAGAGTCCTGGTGTGGGCATCCAAAGTGCCGGGACGTTTAGAAAGGAGATATGCGCATAACATGCCTGGTCGCGGGCAAGACCGAGATACCAACTGCATATATAGGCCTTGCTTACTGCGCTATTGGTTCTAGCATATTACTTCAGCTCAAGCAACACTTCGAGTCTAAGCTATATTCACGAAAACTTTGCCGCAGCATTGGTCTTTCCCAAGACCTGCTGTCGTTGGACCAGACGATGAAATATACGCGTGTAATCTTCGGATCTAATTCAGCGGGAATCACAGACTTCATACTTACTCGATTTTACTTTCAATGTGATGAAGTATTGTAGATGATGGAAGAAAACGAGATTGCATCAGAAATTAATCATGAATACCACCTTGAGCGAGACAAATGAAGCAATCTCTGCTGATATTGTACTCCTGTACTTCCGTATACAACGTAGAAAGAATGACAAACATGCAAAGGAACACAAATATCACAACACCAAACTATACAAACTGTTTGCAGGTGGTGAAGTCTGGTTGTTGGTAGCTGACTGCAGAGAAACTGCTGTTAGAGCTGCATGCTTGACAGATCAGCATCCATGTCCATAATGGTGTCTTCCTGTATGTTCAACCAAACTGTCGGTATGAACACGATTCAGGAAACGTAACCATGTCATTTTGGATGATCTCAGCAATAAAACCTGTGTGCAGCCATCATGAATGTGATAAATGATGTAAGATGCAACTGCAGCCTGCTGTCAGACGCACACTACCTATTTTGAGGACGCACAAGGCGAAGGAAATGATATGCAATAGAAATACTGGGGGTCTATACTACCCTGTAGGAAACTCAAAGATATGGAGCAAAATGAGGGAATACTAGGACAATGGAGGGTGATTAAAATAGCACGAAACTGCTCGCTCAATTTCCGCACCCGAATTTCTCTCCATTACAAACGGGAAGAGTAAATGCTATGTACTCAATGCACAAAAAGTGATGTCTAGATACAGTACTGACAGGAGAAACATTTGCTTGAAGAAAGCCGTCATTTTGCTAGGAAATACCTTGAAGCAATAATATCATCCTAGCATACACCTTCAACGGGCTTCCCATTCCGATTTTTCCGGAAGCGCTTACGAAGCGGGGTTCCCTTCGAAGACGCAACCAAGGCAGACAAATGTGAAAATCTAGACTGTGGAACCTCTCAAGATACTGTACACTCCGGTACTTAAGCGGTTAAATCACTACAAGGGGTCCGTGTTGATTGGCGGGTCCGAATTTGGAGATGGATACCGAGGATCCACTATACATATCTGCTAATCTATTTAACAGTGAAAAAAGCTACCACATGAAACGATGCTGTTAGAATCAGTACTTGCATTAAAATCCACTGTAGGTTGAAGCTGATAGTCCTTTTATGTATGCTCCACTTCTAATGAAGCATACCTGTCGAGTTGTACCACTTAGATCGTCAAAGAAGGATCAGCTACGGCGTGGACATCGGCAATTCTTGTACTTTTCTGTCACGGTATTGGTATCGGCATGTCGATAGGTTCGATATCAGGGATTAGTAGCAGAGAATAGACAGTCAGATAGTTTTATCCTTACCCACTGTACGATTCATTTCACGTTACTAGTAGCGATTGATGTGACTCACCACGAGTGATAATTGACTGCAGCACAATACCATGAGCGCCCCTTGAACTGCGGCTTAGGTTCACGTTGTGTTCATTTAGCCGCGAAAGGGTACTATCAGCATATGGAGCGTATGTAAACTAGCATGCCAATGAGGAATCATTCCACGTTGAAATTCGCTACATCGTGACTTCAATGCAAGAATTGTGAACAGGGGCTGCAGAATAAATTGCTGATCCAGACACTTGGAAGAAAGGAACTTCAAGGAACATTTCTCGGTCCCGAAATAAGCTTTCTCCCCTCCATACTTGATGCCACCGAGGAGTTAGTTCACGTGGCGTATCCATGGTATGTCACAGAATTGCAATACTGAGATGTATCTTCCTCCGCAAAAAATTGTGGTGCGTCTGACGGCAGTGTAAATTAGTGCTAAGCCATGAATTCTACACACTATGATACCCATGCACTGGTAAAACATCGCTCGTAAGCTGGCGTGTTAGGATTGCTGTAGAAAGCGTTCATAACGCTGGATTTTGATTTCAATCTTATGTGGAAATTTTAGCCTCTGACTGTATGAAGCAGATGTAAGCTTATCCACCCCCAAAGTCCTGTGCAGAAGCGATCTTGGTCCGTGTTTAGTGCCAACGGGGCATGCCAAGCGATCGCTACCGACATATTTGTGGACGAGGCTATGTCCTGAGACACAGCCCGATGCAACAGAATAATTTGCACTGATGATCTTGGACATGCAAGTTATATTATTGCTTATCTCCCCCACTCAAATGAGAACTTATACCGATCCCTTCAACGTAATGGAATAGACCCTTGAAAGCTTTTAGGTGGCTGATGAGATGAATGAATGCAGAGATGAATTGTGGTGAACTCCGCACCTTCCGCGATAAGCGTCAGATTCCTCAGCATGCACTGCATGAGAAGCAAAGCGAAATTGGCACCGCAATTTTGAAGTTCTCGAGAAATCATTATTGTTCTTATTGACATTAACATTAGTGATAGATATGTATTAGATGCAGCATCTACACTTAAGAAGACAGCAATGAAAGGTTATGATGGGGAAATTCCAGGTGTAATTTAGAGTAGACTCGAGCTAAAGAGCTCATTCGCCACTTCTCCATATTGAAGGGTATCCGTAACGATTCGATAACCTTCACTCATATTCTCGTCATTTTGCCGGCATGTAACTCGAACTTCTTTATTCCATCGATCGACTTCAAAAGACTCGCCGTAACATCTCGCATTCTCAACTATAGCTCCGGATTCATCCATTCCTGGTTGTTCGAGTGCCATCTTCCAAATCGCAATCCTGGCAATCACACGACTATCCCATGCACCCTCTCGTCGGTGACAGAAAAGTAGTAGTTTTAGTGCTTCTTTACGCAGTGATGGTGAATTGCGACAGTACAATGCAACTTCAGACAGCGGTATTGTAGTGCGGATATCAAAATTAAACGATGCTTTGCCTTTTAATCTGGTTAGCGTGTACGAAATTGCTAGAAAGGATAGCAAATACCTTTGGACAAAAATGTTTCATACTCTATTATATCTCCTGTGTAAGAGACAATGTACTGGAATGGCTCGAGTAGCTCGTCCGTGATCGATTGCGGTTCGTTGAGACTTGTGGCAAGCTTGATAATACTGACTAACACTCGCATCCTCAAAGAATATGGTCTTAGCACTGGATGGCCACGAATTTCAGTTTTGCTATCGTACATCCACGTAGATCGACGAAGGGCAGCATCCCATTGTCTTAATTGTGCTACATAACAATCTCTCAGCCTGATTGCCGAACGAGGAATTTTTGCTCTTGGCGTAAATCTGTATTTGAATATCTCTAAATAGAGGTTGTTGGCCCTTGTGACGAGTACCTCTCGAGTATTGACTGCTTCTTCTACGCTAGAGTAAGATTCCGGGATGTAGATCTGCTCTTTTCCAAGTATGGCTTGGCGATAAGAGAATTCCGACTCGAAGCCCATAGTGGAATAATTGACACTATGAAGGCTCATTAGAACACGAACAAATCGGTCATCAAGAAGATTTGAGGTCTCTTTCGTAAGTAATGATCGAGCGAATTGCATGTGAGAAGTTGCTAGATCTCGATTGCCGTAAAAACAATCAAAGTGGGCCAATATCATGGACGAAATAAATAGTGCTCTTGAATGCTCCGCCGTAAGTTTGGAGATTCCAATGAATTCTCTCGTTGACCGCACAGCTTTGCCGTACTGCTTCAAGGCGAATTGTTCATGATCTTGAGCTCGTTGTGAGTTGTCAGTGTCCGACTGAAAGCTCCGCACAAGAGCAGAAATCGCTACGATTCCATGACGAATGCATGGCGTAGTAAAGCTTTCCTGGAGAACGGCTTCGGTCCAAAAGAATGACTCTATCGACCTAGCTGTACGGCGCGCTGTATTCATAATCATCCCGTATGGGTCCGCTGAAGCTGCATATGCAAAATCTTGAAAATACAGCAATTCTTGGTTGCTAAGGTTCAGGTAGGAAGGCTCACGATTTGCTAGAGTTGGTGGTGCCGGGCGTATAGGGACCAAGCCTTGTCGAGCAACATCATTTATTTTCGTTGCTGCTGACACCTGGGTTGCATAACCACGACACCGAATCCCAGACTTAGTACATCGAAAACAAGCTGGTTTCCCTTCATCGCATTTTAATCTTCGAAATCTATGGTGTATGAAGTCAACATTATGCTTGAATGAGATATCAACAAACCATACTTGCACGTCACGCAACCTGACTTGACCTTAGGCCTGGAAGCTCTTTTTGCAACAGGGTTTGATATTTCGCTCATTATTAATTGGGGAGACGTCAAAACAAACACTTATGATAAAACTATAAATCTTGTCAAAAGACGCGAGGAGTGATATGTAATATTTAAATTCTGCCCATGCACTGAAAGACTTTCCCTTCTAAAAATGGATAAGACTTGCGGCTAAGCCAGCAAGGGTCGAGTGTGGACAGGGCTAGACAGGAGCAGGCCAACATCCAGGATCCTAACGACACGCGGAAGGAACGCATAAAAGAATGCTCTACTCATTCCAGGGCTTGAAGCAGTGTAGTGAGAAATTGGAGAGAACCTGTATCAGGGGGAGTGCATGATCGTTCATTTGACGAATCAGAAAACAAGCCCCATTTTGTGCATTCTAGGGAGCCCACATCTCATGCATCTGCAAACGCTTTAATCCTTCACTAGGTAGCGCTTGAACTTGCATGAATTTTTGAATCCAATTGTAGGAATAAATGATCGAAAGAAATGCAAGAAAGTTGTAGCTATAAAACAGTCATAATGCGCTTAACTGCCACGAGGGACTTTCCCGTATACCTGTTCCATGAGACAGCCATGATAGTTGCAATATTCTCTAAATCAGCAAGTATTTGAAGATGGGGTATCAACCCTCAAAAGCTTGTCAGACTTGTACATCTAACAGACTTCAAACATGCATCAAGTGGAAAGTTTTGACGTCAAACTCTTCATCAGGCCTAGACGTGATGATCTGTCCACTGTATGATGTAGCAAGGCAAGTAAGCCCAGGCATGTTTATTCATTTTGCACATACCAACTGCTTTCCTTATCCTTCGTTTGAAGTAAAAGGATGTCCATTGTGATGAAGAGTGATTCATGATTGTAAGCATTATGGCATTGTGCATCAATAGGATGGGGGGCTTTCCATTCTAAAAACAAAAACTAACAGTTGGAAGTCTAAGCAATTTCGGCTGACCAGGCTTGATATGGGATTCTAAAGTCCGATGCACTAGCGGAGCGGAATAACACATCATCCGCAACAATTTTCTTTGTGAATTCTGTAATCCCCACTGTCACCACAATCTTACGGCCACCCAGATAAAACAAGTCTTACACTTCAGCAGAGGGCCCCTAAAACCTTTTTTAACAACAAGTTTGTGTTTCGGATCATACCTGAATAAAGAAACTATGGCCGAAAATATTTACGACGAGATCGAAATCGAGGACATGACTTATGACCCAGTTCTACAAATTTATCATTATCCATGTCCATGTGGCGATCGATTTGAGATTGGCATTGCGGATTTGAGGGACGGAGAAGATATCGGAGTGTGTCCAAGTTGTAGTTTGATGATTAAAGTAATTTTTGAGGTGGTGAGTTTTATTCTTCCTGATGAAGGAATGCGGTTCGATGCCAGTACGAAGGCACACCGATCATGGCTCCCGATGCAGAAAAGACAAGAAGATTCCTGAATTATGGGACTAATACTTGCGTTGTAGGATGATTTACCAAAGCCAGAAGGAGATCAAGGTGGTTCTCAAGTGGCGGTTGCGACATGAGTAGACTGATGAGCCGAGGCTGCTTCATGATATTTGATTCGAGTCGAGATTATAATATTTTACATCGAGTAGTAATGAAGGTTTACTGGAAAAGAGAATGACAGAGGGATATGCAGCGATGATGGCGGGCATACTTTTCCAAACACGACTCGCGCTCGATGATAACTATCCAGTACATGGTGCTATTCTGCGAAGGAACATTACCGCAAGAATAGAAACCGAATTGGGTCAAGTCAAGGACGTGGTGATTAGATCACAAGGAAAAGATTACTATCGTGTATATTATGAGCACACATTTAGAGAGCCATACTGTGTCCATTATCGTTGGATGAAGTCCAAAAATACAAAGCTGCCACAATATCTCAAATGATTTTCTATACGAAATATCTCATGTCGTGAAAATACCACTGCCATAAAACGCCATATGATGTCTGATTTAGGGAACGCATATCGCAAGAAGAGCTCGCCCAATTCATCTGTGTATCTTACTTGAATATTTAAAACTATCACTCTTCTCCTTGCATCTCAGCGGTATATGAATTTGATAAGTCGACACCCACTTCATTCAACAACAATTCGCTCAAAGAAGAGCCATCTCTCAAGTATATCCACTCCCCTGATCCTGTGCCTTCTTTTGAATCTTGACCTTCGCTTGTAATCACAAAATCGTAGCGCTTTGGACCAGAGGTTGGAGAAGAAAGCCAAATTTGCTTGTTGGGTGGTTGCTTGTTGATGACATACGTGCCGATGGGTGGGAATGAGAGAGTAAGAACTCCCGCCTATGGAAGTATCTCTGTCAATTTTGGGAAGTACCTCATGGAAAAATTGCATGAGCAAAGGAAAAAAAACGCACGCTGTACTCAACATCAATGTCTTCTCTCTCTTCTTGTAATGCCTCTAGCTTTTCAACAATCGTATCCATGTACTCATCCGACAATTCGTTGTATTGTTCTTGAGTGAGGTCGGCGGCTTGCTTTGACTCTTCCTTGCTATCCAATACCTTAGGCTTAGGATTCTCAGATTCTGGAGAAAGTCCTTTGCCTACTCTATTTGACGTTGCGATTGAGCGGAAGGGTTGATAAATAACGCTTGATCGAATGATTGGAAGTGCTCGACCACGCGCAAGGAAATTTCGAGGGGTAATATATTGGCGGGGCGCATTGCGGAGAATCTTTGTCAAGAATGTGCGCGTCATTGTTGCGAATTTACTGAAGAATATGTAGCACAGAATAGGAGAATTGATTCAATGGTGAGATGGGTCGACAATTTGATTGTTACAGTTCTAGGAGTTAATAAACAGGTTGGTCGCACAAAGCTCAATAGGGATTAAGCTTTCAGCTAGCTAAAGCTGCTAAGGTTACCCCACGTTTTCCCGCTTCATCATCGGGACTCGGAAGTCCCGTACCATGATCAATACACCTGCATTTTAGTTCAGCCTTCTTGTGCCAGCCTTCTATAGACCACAACAGAAATAGCAAATACAATTCGAAATTCTACATACTTGAAAGGAAAGATGATCAACGCCGTTCTTGTCTTCAATAATGCTGGGCAACCACGTCTCACAAAGTTTTATACACAATTAGTGAATACCGACCGCCCCATCATCCTCCAAAGAATCCCTTTGCTAATAGCCCCACCAGGAAACATCAGTTCAACAGCGACTTATTTCAGAGATATTTACACTGGTCTCTAATCGCCCTACTGGCTCATGTAATTTCCTTCCGCTTCCACCTCTTCTCGCCTCCTCCTCCACATCCAAAACAGACTCGTCTCCCCACAACGACATTCCTTCCCTCGTCACCTACCGCCATTATGCGACACTCTACTTCATTATCATCTCAACTTCTACCGAGTCACCACTTGCTCTTATTGATTTGATCCAAGTGTATGTGGAGGCGCTTGATCGATTATTTGAGAATGTATGCGAACTAGATTTGATCTTCAACTTCGAGACCCTACATGCAACTTTGAGTGAGATGATCGTAGGGGGTGTTGTTATTGAAACACAGCTAGAGAGAGTAGTGGAAGGGGTGAGGGCGCAGGGGAAGGTGGCAAAGAGGCCGTTGAATGAAGGGAGGGGAGGGGCATTAGGAGGGATGGGAATGGGTGGGAATTTTGCTTGGGCTACTCGATGAAAGTCGGCGACTATTTTAACTACAAACGCTTCAGGCAAACTGCAGTAAGCAAACCCGAATCATTAGCAGGGTCATGTTATTGCAAAAATTTGTGATCCGAGGCTGGCACTGAGGAACGCAATGAAAGGCAGTTGAGAGAGCAGCTCAACACTCTCAATACTAAAGTTGTTTCATATGGTTGAAATCCATAAGTCTTACGCAACTAGATATGAGCACAAAAGAGCCCAAAATGCTGTCAGCACACAGGTCTTCCTGATTAGATACACACCGTCATGGATGGCTGTGCCCCCGAGTGTCTTACGACTACTCAAATTACAAAAGAATAGCTACAAGCAATAGTATTCATGAAGGGATAACGACAAACGAGGAGGGTATCTCGAGGAGAGACTGTGATTCATACATGATTTACACTTCCAGCCCAAGAGTGGTATTTAACGCCTCCACGCCGAGAATGATATACTACAAATTATACAATATCATGGCTTTTGTCAAAGCTATAAAAACATGACCTGTACTTCAATTACTCGTCTTTGCTACAGGAGATGCGTCTGCGGCTTGATCTACACTTTTGCGAACCTGATCTTTTGTCCACATTGATCCCGTGAGTCCAAAAAACCATTCCCGAACCTATATATTGTCAATATCCTAGTTTCTTGGTGAAGGCGGAGATATTCGTACTCCCTGAAATGGTGCCCTCTCGTGAACCAAATTGTCCTTGTTCCAATCTGCGAATAGTACTCCGTACACTATCACAACTATTGCCCAAACATCAGTATTCCATGATCCGATATTTTCTCCCAGTCTACTCACATAGAACAGAGCTCAATTGTGCGATTTTGACGGCCTTTGTCCACCTCGGTCTCGCCCACTTTAACTTCGCTCTTCTTTTGTATCTTCGTTCAAGCCGGAATTGATGCTTTTGCGACAATTTGGAGAAGTCGGGTGGCCATAAACGTTTTGCCTTATACGGATTTGAGTTTGGATCATACGGTAGCTCCAACCGCGTCTGCTGAGCAGCACGTCTAACAATTGTGCGAAACATTCTATTGATGAGCATGGCTGTTAATGATTCGAGGTGAAGCTTGAAGCTGGAGAACCAATTCTGTCTTAGCCTCAGGCAATAATGCATGACCCCACTACCCGCAATTTCTCAAGTCGACTCGAATTTCTGTGCGATTTCGGGTGACTCAATGAAACCTTGAAACAACAGTAGAAACTCTACCGTGAGGATATTGAAAGTTCTGTCTGTTCAATATCGCAAATATGGCGGCAGTTGAAGCCACTGCAAAGGCTTTGGGGAATGCCACAATCTCCAAAACTAAAGAGTTGAAAGGCGCAAGTACCCCTCCTTTAGCATAACCCAAATACTTGCTAATCATAGTATCTTTTTAGACTGAGAAAAGAGACAAACTTATTGCGATTGAGAGGAAATACCAGGCACGATGGGAAAAAGATGGTGTATTCCAGCCAGATGCCCCTTCCACGTCCGAGATACCCCTCCACTCTGTCTCCGCCGCAGAATTGCGCGAACAGCACCCTAAATTCTTCGGTACCATGGCATATCCATACATGAACGGTACTCTTCATGCTGGTCACAGTTTCACCGTCAGTAAGGTTGAATTCACAGCGGGTTTCGCACGTATGCAAGGAAAGAGAACTTTATTCCCCATGGGTTTTCATTTGACCGGTTTACCTATCAAAGCATGCGCCGACAAGCTCGTGAATGAAATTAAGCTTTTTGGAAAGAACTTCGAGAACTATAAGGAGGAAGAGGTTTTGGAGGAGAAGACAAATACCCCTACGCCAAGCACACATCACGAAGATGTCACCAAGTTCACGGCAAAGAAAGGAAAGGCTGCCGCAAAGGTTGTCAAGATGAAGTATCAATTCCAGATTATGAGAGCATTAGGTATTCCAATGGAGGATATTCATCAGTTCGCAGACCCTCAATATTGGGGTGCCTACTTTTCTCCCCTTTGCAGACGAGATCTAACGAATTTCGGAGCACGTGTTGATTGGAGAAGATCGTTTGTTACAACCGATGCCAACCCATACTACGATGCTTTTGTTCGATGGCAGATGAATCGTCTCAGGGAGCTCAAGAAGATTAAGTTCGGGAAGCGATACACAATTTACTCGCCAAAGGACGGACAGCCATGTATGGATCACGATCGAAGTGATGGGGAGGGAGTTGGCCCACAAGACTACGTAGCCATGAAGTTGAAGGTCATGGAATGGTCATCAGAGGCTGCAGCTGCAATCAAGGATAAGGTCCCTGCGGATGCAGATATTTTCTTCGTACCCGCTACACTTCGACCAGAGACCATGTATGGCCAGAACTGTTGTTTTGTTGGACCTAAGATTACCTATGGTGTTTTCAAAGTTTCAGAAAAGGAATACTTCGTTATTACCGATCGTGCGGCAAGAAATATGTCATACCAAGATATTTTCCCTGAAAATGGTAAAGTTGATAAGGTAGCAGAGATTATTGGTTCAGCATGTGTTGGAACTTTAGTTCAAGCTCCTCTTTCCGTACATAAAGATGGTGTTAGAATCCTTCCTATGGAGTCAGTTCTTCCTACCAAAGGTACTGGTGTTGTTACCTGCGTACCATCTGACAGTCCAGATGATTATGCGACAATCATGGATCTCGCTAAGAAGGCGGATTATTATGGTATCAAGAAAGAATGGGCCGAATTAGAGATAATCTCTATCATCAATACACCTTCGTATGGAGATATGTGCGCTCCGTTCTTGGTGAAGAAGCTCAAGATTGCCTCACCAAAGGACAAGACAAAATTGGAAGAGGCGAAAGAGCTTTCATATAAGGAGGGGTACTACCAAGGTATCATGGCATTTGGAGAGTTCAAGGGAGAGAAGGTCGAAGTTGCCAAGCCTAAGGTCAGAAAGCAAATCATTGACGCTGGTCAAGGCTTTGCATACTCGGAACCCGAGCGAAAAGTTACTAGTCGATCTGGGGATGATTGTTGCGTCGCATTAATGGATCAATGGTATCTTGATTATGGAGAGGAGTCCTGGAGAAAGGAAGCTCTTGGCCACCTTGATTCTGGTTTGAACACTTACTCGCAAGAAACCAAAAATGGCTTTGAAGGTGTCCTCAACTGGCTCAATCAATGGGCATGTGCCAGAACTTATGGTCTTGGGTCAAAACTTCCCTGGGATCCTCAATTCTTGGTTGAAAGTTTGAGTGACAGTACCATTTACATGGCATACTATACCATTGCTCACTATCTTCATAACGATATTTTCGGTAAGACTCAAGGTCTTGCTGGAATCAAGCCAGAGCAAATGACCGACGAGATTTGGGATTATGTCTTCGCTCGCCGGGATATTAGTGATGATATCCTGAGTGAAAGCAAGATTCCAAAGGAGACCCTCGAGTCAATGAGAAGAGAATTCGAATACTGGTACCCACTTGACCTTAGAGTATCAGGAAAGGATCTCATCCCTAACCATCTTACTTTCTTCCTTTATATCCATATCGCCATTTTCCCACCAGAGTACTGGCCGAAGGGTGTCCGTGCCAATGGTCACTTGCTCTTGAACGGAGAAAAGATGAGTAAATCGACTGGAAACTTCATGACCTTGAGCGACATGATCAACAAATATGGTGCAGATGCTAGTCGAATTGCATTGGCTGATGCGGGAGATGGAGTTGCGGATGCCAATTTTGAAGAAGATGTTGCCGATAACAACGTTCTCCGTCTTTACACCCTCCGAGAATGGTGTGAGGATATGGTAAAGGAACAAGATAGCCTTCGTACAGGAGAAAAGAACGATTTCCTTGACGCACTATTCGAGAATGAAATGAATGCTATTGTTCAGGAATGTCGTCAACATTACGAAGCGACAGATTATAAGCTCGCTCTCAAATTGGCTCTTTATGACTTCACAGGTGCGCGTGACTTCTATCGTGAAGCCAGCATTGCTGCCGGAATCAAGATGCACAAAGATCTTATTCTCAGATATATTGAGCTCCAAGCTCTTCTTCTCACTGTCATTGCGCCTCATTGGTCTGAATACATCTGGCTCGAGGTCCTTCACAAGCCCACTACCATTCAGAATGCCCTTTATCCTACCGTTGCAGCTCCAAATCTAGGTCTCAGCGCTGCTCGAGAATACGTCCGCTCTACATCCTCGAATATCACATCCGCTGAAGCTGCTCAACAAAAGAAAAAAGCCAAAGGAAAAGATATTGGATATGATCTCAAGAAGCCCAAGAAGCTTACCATTTTCTCTGCTGCCAAATTCCCTGCTTGGCAAGAAAAGTATATCGACCTTGTTCGTGAATCCTGGAACCCAGAGACCAAGAGTGCTGATGACAAGGAATTGAATGGCAAGATTGCTAAGATGGGAGAAATGAAGAAAGCCATGCCTTTTGTACAAGCTTTGAAGAGAAGATTACAGAATGGTGAAGCTGCAGATCAAATATTTGAGAGGAAATTGGCTTTTGATGAGCAGAAAACACTCAAGAATATGGTACCCGGTCTTAAGAAGGCGGCTGGATTATCGGTGATAGAGTTAGTTATTGTGGATGGTGATGAGGGTGGAAAGAAAGGTGTTGTTATCTCAATTGAGGGTGGTGCGGAGAAGGAATACGGAGCTTTGCCAAGTATGGCTGACCAGGCTGTTCCTGGTGTTCCAACTTTCTTGTTTGAAAATGTCGAGGTTTGAGGAGATAGCTAAAATTAGATTTGTGTGGGATGTGGATGAAAAATGAATGGAACCTGGGTCAATGAACTCGAAAACGATTTTCTATGGATCCAAAGTCATGATGATGAATGATAGATGACCAAGAAGAAAAGATAAGAGTTATGAAATAGATGATTGTTATGAAATTGAAGAAATTGCGTTTATGCATTCATGATTTCAACATGATGTGTATGTTGAAAAACGCCACATTCCAGATACGTGGATGAAGTGACGGGAACCTTGAAACGGATGAGAGCGGGATATCTCTAAATATTATGCAACAAATAGTGTATTTAGTGAGATCTGGACACGACTATACACACGAGTGTGTGTTGCACTGATATCGTTCACGATCAAATATCATTTGCCTGGCTGATTAATTGCTTAGTTGGTAAATGCTTTCTCGCATCAATTGCCCGCCACGTTATTCACTTCGTCAATCGTCAATCAAGAATATATATCGACACAAGAGAACAAATGATTTGACGCTACCTAGGTACTGGAGCAATCTCTTCAATTACTGTATTTTTAGGATTGGATTATTAGCTACAGGTTGCTACAGATCATGCCCTTGGGAGGATGACACCAATTATCCTTTTTGCTGTTTTATTGCTTGTTTTTCTTGTTTGGTAGATAGAAGATGTTCTGGCTGTTGGGATATCTATGTAGTATTAAGATGCTGATAGAGAATGGCTAGAGAAATTGTACTCGAGAAATTCCGCAAGTGCTTCACTGAGGGCGTGGGCTGAATTGGAGAAAGTCGCTCTAGTTTTTCAGTTGGAAGATCATAGCTCATAGGAACACAAAAATAAAAATCCAGATTTAGCACGAATGAAATGAACAAACACACAGAGCAACACCTAGAAAATCCGAGAATCGCATGCAGAAATGCCGTATCTCGGCATACGAGGAATGCGGCCGGCTTAAACGAGATCGGAAGCATCTCCGGCTTCACTCATCGTCCGAGATTTGTTCTGTCTGCGAACAGCAATCACATCATCGAACATCGATTATTAAAAATCAAGATTATGATGTAAGTAAACTCGAGAAGCAGTGACGCAAGTATACATGAAAACTCTAGTTATTTTAGGTACCGGATTCTGAAAGCAGATATTCAGGGGAACAAAGCACGATTATCGAACAACCCTGCTGTCAAGCTTAAGCAGTTATGTAACCTCGACGTGCGTTTCCATAAATATCTTCTTACTCCTATTTCCATAGCTGTTTCCGTAGCCGACTCAGAGAAGCTGGATTCATTGGTTGCTTTGTTCTACTTCTCATTTCCATTCATCCTCTACGTTTTCATGAAGAAGTCTTCTTCAAACCATTCCTAAACCGAGTTCACTTCCGCAACCATAGATGTCATAGATGTGCAAACGAAGCAAACCTCTATAGATAGTTCAATTCGCCTTCTGACGCTCTGCTTGCGGTAATAACCGGATAAAGAACTTCTTGTACGTGATAATTGTATATAACCATGTCAATCATGTCTGACCCAGGTTTTGATCTCGTGAACCTTTTCTTCTCAAACACTTTCGTTCTAAACTTTAGAATTCGATACTTCTCTCGTTCGAACTTTCATACAATCAAGCGGTTAGAACCCTACAGTCAAGATGCGTTTCCACTATGCTATCATAGCGGGTCTCGCTACTCTCTCGCTTGCAGCTCCGCAGGGTCAAATTCAAGATCAAGTTGATAATGCCCTTGCTAATATCAATGGAAATTCCAATGGCAATTCAAATGGCAATGCCAATGAGAATGGAAATAGCAATGAGAATAACAACAGCAACACCAACACCAATACAAATGTGAACGAAAACACAAATGTCAATGAGAACACCAATATCAACGATAATGACAATAACAATAAGCCCCCACCAAAGTCTACTCCAGACAAGCCAACTTCCAAGCCAGAGAAGTCAAGTTCCCGCATTGCAGAGAAGCCTAGTTCCCGGACACCTCCACGAACAACCATCAGAAGTACTGTCGATGTCACTTCTACAATCACGGTCCGTCCAACAAGTACTGTTCAGCCAACCACTCAAAGAACTTCAACTCAAAATTCTTCAACTCCTAGTAGCTCAGCAACTCGTACTCAATCGGATGTCACTACCAGCAGAACTTCAAGTGCAAGTAGCACAGGTACTCGTACCCAATCTGGCCTTACAACCAGCCGAACTACAACTACTAGCGAGAGTAGAACTATAACTTCCAGAGAGAGTAGAACTGCAACTACCAGCGAGAGTAGAACCATATCTAGCATCAGTACAAGTACGACTTCGCGCGCTACAACAAGCGAAACATCTTCTACTATTTCCACCTCTACCTCCACTGGAACAGGAACTCGTACTCAATCTGGCCTCACAACAAGTCGTGAAACCACTACGATTGTCACTACGATTCCTACCACTTCAGAAACCGGTACAGGGACTCGTACTCAATCTGGTCTTACTACAAGCAGAGAAACTACTGTGGTTACTACAACTGTTCCTCCTGAAACTGTTACTACCCGTATAACTACTGGTAGTGAAACTGGGACTGGGACTCGAACTGGTGGAGGTGGTGTCACTACACCTACTACTCAAGTTGTTCCTCCTCCTGTTATCCCTACTACCCAGGTTGTTCCTCCCCCTGTTATTCCTACTACCCAGGTTGTACCACCTCCTGAGACAGCAACTCAAGTTGTGCCACCACCTCTTATTCCCACTACTCAGGTTGTGCCACCACCTCTCATCCCAACAACCCAGATCGTTCCTCCTGTCATCCCAACTACTAAAGTTATTCCTCCCCCTCTCATCCCTACCACCGAAATTGTTCCTCCACCAGCCGTTACAACCGACGCACAAGGAACCGTCAATCCCATCATCCCCATCATCCCTATAATCCCCATCACCCCCATAATCGAAACCGGCACCGCCACCGCAGCAGGCGGCGTCGTCCCACCCCCCAACACCCTCTTACCCTCCATCACAATCCTCCCCGTTCTCACAACCATCACCACCGTCAACCCACCCATCACAACCATCACCTCCATCCCAATCGTACCCATCGCCCCCATCGTCCCCCTCACCATCACCAGCGAAAACATCGTCCAAACCGTCCAAGGAATCCAAACCACCATCTCAGGACAAGAAACTATTGTTCCTGCAACACAAGTTCCAGCCAGTATCGTTAGCACGACCGTCGTTTCCGGTGTCACGCTCACGACTACTATTCCGGCAGGTGCAATCACCACGTTTGTTAGTGCGGGTCAAACAATCACAACTTTTGTTCCTGGTGGCGTGCCCGCTGAAACTAGTGCCGGGTCTGTTCTTGGTCAGCTCACTAGTGGTGCACCCACTGAGACTGCTGCCGCACCTGCGGAAACTAGTGCCGGGGCGGTTGCTGGTCAATTTACTGGTGGTGCGGAGAGAGTTAAGGCGCTTGAAGGAGGAGCTATTGTGGGACTTGTTGGGTTTGCTGTTGGGGGTTTGTTATTGCTTTAATTTTTGATGTTGTTTTGATTTCGTTCATTTGACTTCTTTCATTTGATGAGTTGGTTATTTAATGTTCCGGAATTAATTCTTGAGACTTTGCCTGGATTTGGATTTTATTGGATTTTGTATGGATTTGCGTTTATATCTATATTGATTGAATTTTGATATTGATAATAATACTGCGATGGGAGTTTTAAGTTTTGTTTGTGGGAACTTGCTTGGGGTGGTAATGGATTGATGGATGGAAGGAAGGAAGGGCGAAAAGTCTACTTAATGGATACCTACCTAATGCGACGGGGAAGATTGCTATGATATAAATATAGGGTAAAGAGATAATGCATTAATTTTTAATAATCTAGATACATATAAATTTTGTATGTTTGGAATATTTGATTGAGTGAGTGAGATGATAATATTCTTGATGCATTTTTTAAGGGTTATTTAGTGAAGTAAGATGTGTGCAATGAAGAGAGTAGTCTCCCTCAGATTTGCCACATGCAGGAACACTATATACCGCATGCGGCATTGTCATGATGAAAACATGAATTAAAACAAAGGAAAACATTTATGTTGTGTGCATCCATATCTTCTGTGTCATGGCATCCTATCAGACTTTTACCACTAGGTATAGTAATATCATCAAAAATCACCATCACCCATCACAATCAACCTTCACTCTACCCATCTAGTTCTCTATCAACCATAACACATGACCTGCCTTCCTCTTCTCTTTAACCACAAAACAACACACTCGGCCCCAAATCCAGACATGCAACAAATCTTCCCCCCTTTCCCTTTTCCTATCCCCTCACTTAACCACAAACCACAAAACTCGGGCCCAAAATCCAGACATGCAACAAATCTTCCTTCGCTTCACACCTTCCCTTCATATGTTCAACTCCTTCCCCCATCCCTTACCTTGCACATTCTACACCTTCCTTCCACGCCTCACACCTTCCACGCCTCACATCTTCCACGCCTCACACCTTCCACCCCTCTTTTTAATTATAAAACTCGACCCCAAAATCTAGAAATGCAACAAATCTCCCTCATTTGCATTTTCCCCTTACACCTTCCTTACCTTTTCCCTACAGCCTCCACCCCACCCCGTCCATCCATCCCTTTAATCACAAAAACTCGGGCCCAAAATCCAGACATGCAACAAATATTTTCTTCACCCTAAATTCCACTTGTACATTTCTCTTCATTCGCTGACCAGAGTTGAAAGGGAATCTAATCGTACGATATCGTACTGTTCTCGCTTAAATATCGTACGACTGTTGTTGGTGGTGTAAGACGCTTATTTTGCCTATTTTGCTGTTTGGGCAGGGGGTGGTGAAGCGATAGGCGAGATAATTCGGATAAAGGTATAGTACGTTAAATTGGCAGAATAGCTGTGAGGGATAAAAAGAAACGCGTGTTGTGTGTGCAATAGGATGCACTCATGGTGCGAGTTCTCAAGTTTTCACAAAATTGTAGCAGCAAAAGGTGACATAGTTGGCAAGTGTGTAATATTGATGAAAAACTAAGCTATATTGCAACCGTAACACGCAGACCTCAAGATAAAACGAAATGAACATACGGTGTAGAAGGCAAACGGCCAGTTGGAGTACAAAATCTATTAAATTTGTTAGTAAAATTCTCGGTTTATCTTCTCCCAAACGAAATTATAGAAACAAGAGTAATCAGACAGCAGTTGGTACTTTTTTTGTCCACATAGAAGATTACAGAACAGGTCTGTGAATAAGGTATATCATCATATTACTCTTCGCCCCCCTGATTGAAGAAAAAATGTAAGTGCTTACCAAAGTTGTATCATTCAAGCTTCCTCTTCTTGAAGAATGAATCCATAGTTCTTTGAGAAGAATCATGTTTCAGACTTCCCAATCCACCTCTGGTTTTCTTGAGCCCTTTGAGATGATCCTGATTATTAACAGACTTTACCATGAGTGACATGATGACCTCAAAATTGTCAAAATTATGGTTTGATAGTTTCACTGAGGTTGGATCATTTGATTGTTCATCCGATACCAGGGGGTCCAAGCCAACTTTGGCAGGCGACACATCCGGAATAGACTTGATAACCAATTCTAAGTAGCCAGTATTGGACCAACCACCAATATATTCCAGTCCCCGTTCAGGATATGGAACATCTGGACCAACCGAGACATTCTTTGGATTGAATTGCCTTAAAATAACTCGCCATAGATGACCTAGAATAATACCATGAGCCACGGTGACGATGGTATCACCATTAAGATTGCTGTCATTGATTTCGAGGAGGTGCATCAAATGCTCTTTGACGAATGTCTCCATCCGCCTCTTCATCGATTCCTTCGACTCTACATCTTTGAATCCAGGATCACCTCGATGTGCCTCATAATGTATTTCCTTGCCAGTTTTGTTTGAATCCTTCGAACGTTCATGAAATGGTTTCTTTTCGTAATGACCAAAGTCTTGTTCTCGAAGGAGCTCAAGCTTTGTCACCTCGAGAGAAGTGCCATTGTCCTGAGCAGTACGAATGGCCTCTGCGGTCTTTACAGCTCGTTGAAGATCGGAAGAGAATATATTGGAGACTTTTGAAGCTGCAAGATGAGTACCAAGTCGATTGGCTTGCAACACGCCATGGTTCGTTAGTGGAGAGTCTGTAATGCCAGCACTTAAAGAAGTTAGCCAAAAGAAGGTTGAAAGTGTTGCAGACGGACAGCTTACTATACATTGGCAACATTGTCGACGGTCTCGCCGTGTCGAATTAAGAGAAGCCTCATCCCGCCATGTGGGAGAGGGAAGAAATAACCATCAAGAAAATACTACCATAATTAGTGCAACAATTGAATTGTACGAGGTTGTACTTATCGATGATTACTTTGGAGGGGCATCAACAAAAGATAAAATATATATGCAGAAAAAAACTAATTTGGCGAGCTTGCTTAGTAAGCACGCTAGCGTGTACCAGATCCGAATTTGAGCCGATGACATTCTACCGATTAGACGGATCTGGTCATCTCTCTGATAAAAGATACATAAGAAATAAGTCTTGCATTCGTCATTTCAGTGCAGATGTTTAAAACTGTCAATTGGGAATTGAAATATGTATCCTGTTAAAAGGTTGTCTTGGTCTTCCGGTATATTGCCCAATGCCCATTGCTCCCCCTTCCAAACTTTTTATAAGACAAATTGAAGGATGCCTCCACGAATTCATGACCTAAATTTACATTGCATTTGACGCCGTGGCTACTAAGCTTATTCCACCTCCCAAGTGTTATTGTGCGAATTTATCAAGTCTCAAGTACACCATTTTGAAGTTTTCAAGATACCAAACTTCCAAATCTATAAGGTGCCATGCTTTTGAGATTTTGACACACAAATTGTCCCAGAGGAAAGCGCTTTTTGAACTTTGAGATATAAAATGGCTCAACCCAGCTAGGTCATCTTTTAACCTTCCCTTCATGGCGAAAAACATTCAATGCAAGTAGACAATATGGAGCAGAAAATTAGTCTACTTTCTCAAGCCATATTATTACACCACGACCAGAACACCATACAACCTTTGGCTATCTCACACGTTATTACTTCAATCGCAATAACTGATCTTCTATCTACCGCAGCACAGCTACAATACAATGGACCGTCAAAATCTAGATAATTTCTTCTGGGTTACTGGTCGTCTACTTGGATGGTGTATAATTCTCTGTGTAGAGTATGCAAGATACATCCTTCGCGAAATTTCAGAAAAGACGCGAGAAGGTCCTACACACGAACCTATTCAACGTTTGCGTCTTATACTCCAACTGCTGTCCTATATTTTGCAAGTATTGGGCATGCGTGATGGTTTCAGGCCAACGGGGACCAAAGTCATATGTTTTCTGGCCGAGAGATCTTCCAAGATAAATCGCCTCCTGTTGTGGAGTCTCAAGCCATTGTTCGTGAAATTCATCATGTGCTCTTCCATGATAATCCATCTTTTCCACATCAACTTTGTCCTTTTCTATGTCAATCCTGAAGCTACGGGAATAATTTTGGGGAGTTCTTCGCTGGTATACACCATTGGAAAGTCGCCAGAGAATTCACTTCTTCAAGGAGACAAATGGTTCCTTTCATGCCGTTGAGATGTAGCAAGGAGTGGGCTTGCTACATGCCACATTTCTTTTAACAGCCATCGAGATTTGAGGCAGCATTTGTGAATTTATTCGCTTCTCTATTAGAGTTCAGAAAGGGGACGGAACTTGCCCAGTTTCACATTCAGATATTAGTTCAAGGATGTAAGTCAGCGGGTAAGCATAGGTTGAGAATCTTTGCGTATTTACTAACCTTCGAGGAATTTAGTTCTAACACGTTTCCTCCCACGGCCATCGCAGTCACAACTAGATGCACCAAAAACTCTGTGGAGCACAACAACCTCCTAAGTATCCTTTGAAGTCTTTGTGGGAGACTCTTGCATTATTGGCCTATTATAGTTAGATTATTCTCATGCTCTTTAGAACACTTGCTAAGAGGAGGAAAATAACATGCTAATGGGATGTCAGCGAGTCTTTTCTTCTATCCTGCAGGCTGGTTTAGCGATTCCCTTCAACAAGCACATAGCATTGGCTTTTGTGATTGGCTGATACAATAGTGTATTGCAAGCGCTTACGGACTATTTGGAAGAGATGTGATGGCTTAGGACCTGCTAGTATCTGTTTATAACTTTCTTTGATCACGGAATTTGGGGGATACATTAATATCATTACCACAAACTATCTATGGACTGACCTTTATACTTCTGGACGTATTCCAGATTTCTTTGCCCAAGCTCTAAGAGCTTACTCAAGTTTTTTTTCTAAAATATATACATATATGCCCTATACACCAATAGACAAGAGTACTACACACGGACCATGCCAAGTGGTATGGTAGCTTAGGCTCTTCGGCCACCTCAGCCCACTTTCCCACCTTACAACAACTTACAATATTCAACGGAAGTTGCACAACTCTACCACCACAACCCCAAATCACTTATTGTTAACGGCAAATCAATCCTTAGTATCTGAGACATATCCCAGCAAATTTTCGGGGGAACTTTCCAAGGTAAGTTGACCTTTTTGTTGTGGTAGTTTTCACCTTTTTGGTTCATCATATGAGTGGTTCTGGATTTTAGGGAGGTGAAGTTCGCTTCATCAGCACTCGCCGAATTTTCTTCATCAACCGAATGTTAAGAATTTCATCGGGGTATCATTAAGGATGAAGATGGAAATGCTCACTTTAGTTTTCTCATTTATATTATCAAGGATCCTCCAACACACACTGGTTGCGCTTACCTTATATAACATGGCATCTAGTGCATGATATATCGGTAATGATCCATACTACACGACAGCAACTAACACCAACAACTGCACCCTTGTTGTATTTCGCATCTAGCACATAATTTCAGTTCTGAGTTGCTGTTGTGCTCAAGGAGTCTTAGTAACACTCATTGCCATCATTGCGTTCACTCATCATCACCGTCTAGGGTCAATGACTAACGATTTTTAATTCATGTTCAAAGGTCACAAATATGGATAACCATTCCAAGCTCAGACCAGATGATGACAATCCGGATATCACGACCGACAACAGTGAAACTAATCACAATGTAAGCATCTTCGGTAATCCCAATATGTTCAATAGCGCAAACTTCGTTCAAGCAAGCATACTCTCCAATGATGCCGAAAGTACCACTAATAGCCCGAATCTTTCTTATACAAGCATCTTCTCAGATGTTCCAAGCAGCATTGATAATAGCCCAGTCTCTGCTCAAACTAGCATTTTCTCTGGTGGTCAAGATCGCAATGTGACTAGCCCAGTCACTGCCCAGACTAGCATCTTCGGAAATGCTTTAAACAGCAGTTTGACCAGCTCAACCTCTGCACAGGTCAATGATAATAACCCCGATTTGGAAATTACCAGTGATATCGATTCACGCTCAATTAGTTCGTCCCCCGAAGCCCCCGACTTCGATGCTCCCGCAGCTCCAGCACCAGAAACCCTCTTCCTTTCCTCGGACCATAGCTCCCCTCCAACCTTCAAATATAACATGCCAAGAACTTTTGCCGGATTCGGCGTCATGTTCAACAGTACCAAACGTAGTGCTGCTATCAAAGGACAAGCGCAACGAATTGGAGCCGGAGGTGCAGACAAGGATGATAGTGGTACTTATGATCCCAGTTTAGAACGCAAGCGAAACGTTAGAAATACTAGAGCTAGGAAAAATAAGGAGAATGAGGGAGAAGAGGGAACAGCGAAGATAGGTGCCAGTGCAAGAAATGGGAGGAAAACTAAGGAGCAAGGTTCTTTTGAGTGGATGATTACGATTAAATTGACTAGTGAAAAGGGTTTGAAGTGTTTGAGAGAAATTAAACCGGGTCCAGAAGGTGATGAGAGGAAGTTTCCACCAATTTATGAAGCGGATGCATATGTTGATGATTTAGGGGATGAGAATGAAAATGGGAATGGGGATGATGAGATCGACTATTCAATTCATTCTAGACGGAGGAAAAAGATCAAGATTTCACATAACCGAAGGTACGTAGAGATTCACTCACACGATGATTTCGACCAAAAACAGCTAACGGTTCTAGATCTGACGGTCTAACACTTGAAGAATTACACGACGGGCATCCTCAACTTCGTGGCTGTAAAGCTTGTTTCGAAGCTGGAGACGACGAATGCTCACTTATTGAATATAGTCATGAATGGCCCTGTGAGGGTTGTGAAGATGCAGGTATTGATTGCGAATTCATTATCCCGCCTGAAATTAAACTTTCATGCCTTCGATGCAAAGAGAAGTTGCGAAAGAGATGTTCCTATGCAGATGATGGTGGGAAAGGTGTTGATTCTTGCAAAGCATGTGAGGAAGCTAACGTCAAATGTATTGCTGGTCCTAGAGCTGGTTCTGCACCTTCATTGAGAATTTCGGATGTGCTTGCGAATGCTGGCACTAAGAGAAAGGGAGGCAAGAGTACGAAAGCAGAGGGTATAAGAAAAGACCAGAAACAGTTACAGCTACTAGTGTTGAGAAGTTGAAAGCTATGCCTCGAAAATATGTCTCTTGCAATCGTTGCAGAGTCGAATTCAAAGGCAGATGTTCACTCAAGCGCGATGATGAAGGGCCATGTAATCGCTGCGTCAAGGCAAATGTAGCTTGTACTTTTAAAATGCTACCTAGCATCGCCACAACTCCAAGTAAAGAAAAAGGCGAAGGAACATGGACAGGAACAAGAAAAGATATGGCACCAGTTTCCAGAACTCCTCAAGACCTTACCCAAACCATCATTCTCGAATCAACCAAACTCAACGACCGAGTATGGCGCACCACCCACCCACATGCACGTCGTAACAAAACTCAACAAAAAGCTTTCTCACGGGCACAACCTTCCTATTCACCCGACATTCAATTTCTAAGCTCGAAGCCTATCAACCATTCAAATAATCAGATGACGGAAACCAACAATAAATCACATATCTCCAACACCCCTACTCCCCAAACCATCCCCCCAACCTTCGCCATCCACCACAGAGGCATCCGCACCATAACCATCCCAACCTCCTTCTCGCACCCCCTAATCTTCAACTACAAACGCGACCCGATGTCCCTCTACCCCCCCTGCGACTTCCACACCAACCCCTTCTTCGGCCTCTTCGGGTACGGTCCCCGTCTCGTAACCGTCGTCCCCTGGCCTAGCATCACGGGAGCCGGATACGAAGAACTAGAAAACGGATGGGGAGATTCAGATGCAGGACATGAGGTTACGAGAATGTGTGTTAAGTGTACGTATGCACGAGTTAGGATATTGGGATGTGCGGAACATGGGTTCAGACAGATGCAGGGATTGGATGAGCGGATGAGAGATGAGGGGTTGGTGAGGGAGAGTGTGGAGGCTTGTGAGGAGGGGTTGAGAATGGGGAGGTGGGGGAGAGGTGAAGGGGGGGAACCTGGGGTGGGGAGTACAGCGGAGTTGGTTTGGAGGGCGAGGTGGTGTGCGGTTTGTCCGAGGCCGGGGGATTGGGTTTGTAAGGGTTCTGGTGGGGGAGGAGGGGTGGAGGGAGGGAGGAGGGAGGGTTCTTCGCAGGGTAGTCGGGAGAGGGTTAATAGGGGGTGTGGTTTGATTCTCTGTGATACGTGTTATGGACTTCATGGAAAAGTTCAGAAGGGAGGAAAGAAGGGTGGGAGAGTAGTATTGGGGAGGGTTATTCAATTAGCGGGTGAGATGAATAGGAGAGAGGATTATCCGGATGGGGTGAGGGCTGATGCGGGATTTTTGAGAGAAGATGGGGAATTGTTTGTTAGGATGCTAAAGGGGGTTTGTGTGGGAAATATGGGGAAGATTGGTGAAGTGGCTGGGAGCGGAGGTAGTTTGAGGGAAGGAATGGAAATTAAGAGAGAGTTCGACGCTATGGATTCGAGAGGAATAAGTTGTTCTACTTCGAAATACACGCGTGAGAGAGAATACAGGGGTAAAGATGAAGCAACCATTCGAGCAACTACCCCCTTTTCTTCCCCCACATCATCTCGTCAAAATCCCACACCAACTATAACTAAGAACCTAAAAGAAAAAGAACAAAAACCCATCTATCCAGCTACTCCTCTATCCCAACACCATCCCCAACCACAACAACTCCCCCACCCACCCACAACACATAAAAACCAAGCACCACCACCACGCCCCGAGAGAAGAATAACCAAGAACTCAGAAAATAATATCACTACCACCACCAATACCACCACTACCACTATCAACAGCACTACTAATAATAACAATAACAATCATAACCATAAACACAGAAAGATAATCCAAAAATCCGGGGATATTAAAGAAGAAATAAGTTTCCTTCCGGGAAGGATGAGAGATGGAGATGGAGTGATGGGGACACATGTACAGATGATTAGACGGAATAATAATGATCAAGATCAAGCGTTTAGAAATGAGTTTGGATTTGCAGATGATCATGATCATGATCATGGGGGGCAAGGGATAAGTGGTGGAGGATGGAAGGGGAGGGGTGTGGATGGAGATGGGGATGGAGATGGGGATGGAGATGGGGATGGAGATGGGGATGGAGATGGGGATGGAGATGGGGATGGAGATGGGGATGGAGATGGGGATGGAGATGAAGTGGTGCGGAGTATTGAGAGGGAGGTTATTGAATTAAGCGATTGATGTTTTTTTCATCATTTACATTCATTCATTCATTCATTCATTAACTTGTTCATTTAATTATTTATTTATTCTACTCTCACATCTGGAATTAAAGAGAAAAATCCTTTATAATTGTTAATTTGTGTTATTAGCTTTTGCCTATTGCATTAACAATATACGAGATACGAGACACAGGACACAGGACAGAAACCAAGAAACTATAAAAAAACATCATATAATGTATACCATTCTCATTCCTCATTTAAAATCTATCATACCACGTATCTATCTATCTATTCCCATCTACTCTATTTCATAGTAACCAATTCCTCAGCACTAGTAGGATGAATAGCCACACAACTATCGAAATCCTTCTTTGTAGCACCCATCTTAACAGCCACTCCAAAACCTTGTAACATCTCACCACTACCCAATCCCAAAATATGAAGACCAATAACCTTTTCCTCCGGTCCTAGACACACCAATTTATACTTTGTAGGTCCCTTATCTTCAGGTTCCATCATGGTATAATATAATGCGGTAAAACTAGTATTGTAACATTTAATATTTTCTTTTCCGTAACGTTCGATAGCTTCCAGTTCGATGAGACCAATAGAACCAACTTCTGGATGAGAAAAGACAACCGAAGAGAACATTATCGTAATCGAGTTTTGAATCTTTGAATTGAGGACCTCCAAATAAACGATCGGCGAGTTTACGGCCAGCGGCAATGGCTACCGGGGTTAATTCGATTTTGCCAATGACATCACCTAATGAGTAGATGCTGTCGACATTGGTGTTTTGATATTCGTCGGCAATGATTTGACCTCTTTCATTTTGTTTGACACCTGCTTTGTCCAATCCTAAACCATCTACCTCGGGGGATCGTCCAATAGCCCAGATTAAATCATCTACATCCTCAAGAGTACTCTTTCCATTCGAGTCCTCGTAGTGAATGGTAAGTTTACCCGTCTTTTCATCTTTTTCAATCTTAGTCTGAACAGAGTTCTTGTGCAACTTAACACCCAAACGTTCATATTCATTTGTGACAGTTTCTTGAACCATAGGATCAAAGCTTCGAAGGAACTTATCATGACGGATGAATGCAATGAGTTTCCGTTCCGAGAGCATTAAACATGCCTGCAAATTCCGGTGCAAGATATCCAGCACCAATCAAAGCAACTTTCTTAGGTTGTCTCTCAATATCGAAAAATCCGTCACTGTCTACTCCGTACTCTGCACCTGGGATACCCTGAGGAACAGTAGGGCGACCACCAACTGCCAAAAGAATCTTCTTAGCTCTGATTGTTTGTTTGGTACCATCGTCTAATGTAACTTCTGCTTCATTCTTTCCAGTCAAAGATGCCCAGCCGTGAATATATTCGACTTTATCGTTACCGAGATTTCTCTCGTAAATGCCGTTTAATCTCTTGATGAATGCATCTCTCTTGTTCTTGAAATATGACCAGTTGAATGGTGCTGTAGTTTCGACGGAGAAGCCGTAAGCTTTTGAATCGTGGATAGCTTCTGCGATTGCTGCTGCATTGAATGTAACTTTCTTTGGTACACAGCTATTATATCGTAAGTAGATGTCGTTTAGAAGAGAGTGAAGAACAAGAAACTCACCCAACATTAACACAAGTACCACCAAGTCTCTTAGCCTCTACGGCAATAGTCTTAACACCATAAACACCACTTGCTTTTCTAGCTGTAGCCAAACCGCCACTTCCACCACCAATGACCAAAAAGTCACACTCCTTAGTTATAGGGGCCATATTGAAAGGTGTAATAGAGAATTGACGAGAAAGAGAAGAAAGTCTATGATTTGCCGTCTTTGAAGATACTCGGGCAAGAAAAGTAAATCTTTTGCATGAGAGCAGTAGTAGGATTCTTTTGTAGGAAAGAGGAAGGAGGGGGTGGGATTTCTATAGCTTTTGGCGGGGGGCCTTGTTTACCAGGGGTTCAGGTGCGATTTGTGTTTGGTGCGTTGTGTGACGTCTTGTGGGATGGGATGAACGGGAGTGAAGTAGTTGAAAGGAGTGAGGGAAGGGATTACCAATTGTGTGTACTCGAGTACAGATTGGATTACACTATAATGAGGTCTAGACTTTGTTGTACTCGGTATTTGTTATTTTTAATGAAAGAGTTTTTGTTGGCTGGTTGGAGGTAATTGGAAGTTGTTATTTTTTGACTTGATGTTGTGATTTGCTGATTTCTCAGCAAAAATCTCGGCTCTTCTATTTTATGATTATCAAAGTAGACCTCTCTGGCCAAATATTGTAATGTGATGCTTTTGAATACGCAGCATAGAGTATTTGGAATTCTGGATATTGATAAGAGTTGTATCTAGTATTTACTGAGCTGTCTCATGACCAAGAAGTATTTATTGTAAGTATTATTGTGGTCATATATTATAAATATTCTAGAGATCTTATATCACAAGTTAAGATACAGATATCATTCTTCTCGTATTTTGGAAAGATCTACCAGAGTAGAAGCATCTATTGATAATATTTGACTTCATTCATCACCAGACCTGATTGAAGTTGTACAATCTCTTCTCTATCACCAACAGTTGCTCCTCCCAATATCACAAGTATCTGTTGACATGAAGACCCGAGTAACCTTATCCATACCAGTCCCTACTATGCAATTCACTGAACTCCTTCTGGACATCGACCCATCCGCTTATTAAGAATTTAATAATCCTTATCAATCTTATCACAATCAATCAAGCTAAGTCCCGCAAGGCTACAGTATCAAAGTCCCCAAAAACCAACCTAACACAAGCGCAGCCTCACAAAACACATGACCAAAAGCACCAAAAAAGCGTCTTCTCCAACCTCACTCCATGAAAAAGGGGAAAAACCGAAGGTATCACTTTTGACCCCAAGAAATCTGAGCTTATACACTTCTATAAAGGACACCGAACACTAACGGATACCCCTGCAATACACACCGGATCTATGAATGTAGAGGTCAAACCTGGACCGCTCAGATGGCTCGGAGTCCACTTCGATAGGAAACTATGCTTCAAACCACATGTCCAGATCCTCGCAGCCAAAGCCCTCAAGGGAGCTAATGCATTGAGATCCCTCAATAATATACATCGAGGGATACCCCCATATCTCACCAGGAGAGTGGCTGAAGCCTGCATACTCAAACAGTGCTATTTCGCCTCGGAAACTTGGTGGCCGGGCCGAACCAGATCAAAGAAGAATGCTCTAAACAAACCGATCTCGATCTCGAATATAATGGATAGCCATATAAACCTGCTCAATAAAGTGGTAATTACCTGCACAAGAGCAATCCTCCCAGTATACAAAACCACAAACATAGCAGTACTCTACGAAGAAGCCAAACTCAGACCATCCGAGATCGAGCTAAACCAGATCTCATAATCATATGCAGCACGAACCACCAGATTAGACCCCCACCACCCTCTCAGAATCAGAGCAGAGAATATAACCAAAGCCAAAGAACAGAATCGCATCCCAGACACAAGATTCGCAAGGCTCATCACAGCATTACCGGAGACTGAACACATAAACCCCTTGGCCTTCCCCCCCTGGGAAATCAGAGAGTCGAGGGCAGAGGCCGAGGCCCGTATCAACGGTCCGATGGGCAGAACGAAGGCATAAGCAGCCGAAGACTTCAAAGCCTTCCACGCTAAGATCCCAAGAAGCGATATACAAATCTTCTTAGATGGCTCAAAAAGTGAAAGCAAGGATGGCGCAACTGGGGGCGGATTCGTAATCTCACAATTCGATATTCAGATAGCATACCATTCTTTCTCATTAGGCACAAATGCAGAAGTGTTCGATGCAGAAGCCACAGCCGCAGTAGCAGGGGCAGCAAAAGCCCTCACTCTAGCATCAACCAAACTGGCCACAGATCTCTGGATCTTCTTAGACAACCACGAGGCTGCTCTCCGATTAGGATCCCACTTCAATAGTTCCTCACAGAGAGTCTTTGAAGACTTTCTGAAGCTCACACAAGCTTGGGCTGTTAGACCAAGGCTCCCACACACCTCCCCCGGGAAAATCCGCGTCCGATGGGTCCTAGGGCACCTGGATATCCCTGGCAACGAAATAGCTGACAAAGCTGCTAAGGAAGGAACAAAACTCCCCTTTCCCCTCAATCCGATCTGTACGCTAGCATCCCTAAAAAGAATGATCAGAACAAAGGCCAACAAAGCAGACGAACAATTATGGAATACAGTCAGGCCACAATACTACAAAGATCTCCAATTCAATCACACTTCTAATACAGACACCCTCTCTCTGAAGAAAGCCACACTCCACCATATTCTCGTTATCAGATCACAGTATAGCGACTTCGCAGCATACCATGAACGCTTCAATCACATTACAGCCTATGTCCATTGCTCGTACAGTAAAAGAAAAACTCCATTACACTTTTTCTTTTGCAAAAAAGGAAAAGCCTTCAAAGCGCTCACAAAGAGCCCCCCCTCCGAAGCTATCCCCTGGCTTCTAAGCAATCCCACCGGTATAGCCAAACTAGCCAAATGGCTAGAATACACCAAATTCTACACAAAAATCTGCCCGTGGCACACAGGTGCAAGATAAAAAAAAAATAAAAATAAAAGAACTTTCTTTCTTTCATTGGATTCAAACGGAGTTAATAGGTCTCTAAGGGTGCTTTTCCTCCCTCTTCTTTCCTCTCTTTCATCTTTCCCTTTTCTTTCATTAAAAAAAAAAAAAAAAAAAACAACAAGTATGCATACGAACAATCTAAACAAGTACGAGGAGACAGGGAGAGAGATCAAGAGGTAGTGATCTAGTGGACGAGGATGACCACAATTACAACCCCAAAAGGCCTACCGGCCCAAACCCCCCCTGCGAAGGCAATCATGTAAACCCTGCCCTAGCCCCCTTTAAATTGTATAAAAATACTCCCCCTAGCTAGCTAGTAAACCACTCAGAGGCTTCTCCTCTGAGCGTCATTTGTCCAAAACTGGAATAGATGGCTAAGGTTATCACGCGCCAAGGCGCGTGGGCCTACGGCCTATGACGATAAACACAATCAATCAATCAATCACTCCATGAAAAATCTCTGCAAGGCGTAAGAACCATACATATCCTCAATTTACACACCAACCAAGCACCTAACGACAAAATGATTATCATACGCTGTACTCGTGAGACTCAGCGCTTTCTAAACATGTCGGAAAATTTGAGTTAGCCAAAAATGTATTTTTTGTTGCATACTGCATAGATATGCAACAAAAGATTTTGCATTATTTTAAGCACAAGGCTAGTATTCTCCCGAGGCTATCCCGACAGCCTCGTCCGAAAAAGAAAAAGATAAGTAAACAAATTCTACGAAAATATCTAGAATACCCTTTTTCCTCAGGATGAAAGAAATATTTCTCTTCCAAATTCTTCGGGATAGTTTTGGAGGATTCTTCACGGTTCTAGATTCCAAATTCGCAAAGAAGTTATACTTTCTACAGTAGTTGCAAAGATTAATTGAGCCTTCACTCCAGTCAATTGTTCAACTCAAACCAAAATTTTGGATCCTTCCTAGGTTCCTCTCGCATCAATCAACAAAACACTCACGTACACAAACGATCATGAATGGCAATCACGATCCCCAGTACCCTCAAAGCCGTAGCACTCAAACAAATCGCTTTCAAATGCGGCATCTCAATCTCCGGCACCAAACCCGTCCTCACGCAACGAATACAAGATGAGCTCCCAAAAATCACCCTCCCGGGCGCGGACCCATCATCCGCCACCTCCAAACCCTTGCGCATTCTAAGCATTGACATGGGAATCCGCAATTTCTCCTACTGTCTCCTCGAAATACCTCTCCCCTCCAAATCTCCCAAGAACAAACGAAAATCAACCCCTCCAATTCCCATCCTTCAATCCTGGCAAAAACTCTCGCTTCTTCCTCAAGCCCCTCCAAATACAAATCCTGCTACCAACGAAAAACCTCGCAATGAATTTACACCCGCTATTCTCAGCACGGCAGCATATACATTGCTTCGCCACACACTTCTTCCTCTCTCTCCAACACACATCTTAATTGAGCGACAGCGCTTTCGAACCCATGGAGCGAAACAAATCCTCGAGTGGACAATCAGAGTCAACATGTTAGAAAGTATGTTATGGGCGACACTCAAAACATTATCCGAGGAAAAAGTATGGGAAGGAGAAGTAATTGAGATTGCGCCGAGGAAAGTAGGTACATTCTGGGTAGAGGAAAGCGGATTACTAGACGGAGAGGAAGGAGAAGAATTCAGAATAGTCCGAAACACGAAAGAAGTGTACGCGAGGAGTAAAGGGGCAAAGATAGATTTAGTAAGAAGATGGTTGGAAGGCGGGGAAAAACGAAAGGCTCAAAAACATAACGAGATGGTCATTATAGGAAGCCAACAGGTTCAAGACATAAAGGAGAGATATACAGAAAAATGGGATCGCAAAGCCGGGAGAGCAAACGGAAATAAACCCAAGAGCAAATCATCCCATCGTTCAGCATCAGCCGTAGCGCAAAAGAAAAAAGAAAAAGAAAAAAAAGAGGAGATGGGTAAACTAGACGATTTAGCAGATTCTCTTCTACAAGGAATGGCATGGCTTAAATGGCAAGAAAATAGAAAGCGCGCGTTGGAAGAAGGTGTAGAGATTCTACTAGATTACTAAAAGTACTAGGTGAACGAATGAGAACACTCTCTTTATTGAGTATACTCTTCTTATTAAGGTTATATACCCCGGGTTTATTATTGTCAGATTATTAGATATTAGATACCATTCGCATTCACATTCACATTTAACTCGTGTATACGAGTAATACACACCAGATTCTAAAATCTACTCATCTGCCATCTACCCATCACCCATCTAGCCTAAGATTACTTAAGTATCCCAACTTCTCAACCTCAACCACAGCATGCTTAAAAACACATATTAAACACCATACCATACCATACCATATATGAATGAAAACACAGATACACACATATGCTATCCTTAAGCTAAACTTCAAAAAATACTCCTAAACGCCATCTCACCTGCTTGCTAATGCTTAATTTTCCCTCATGTCCTGTTTAACCTAACCTAAACTAATCCAAACGCCATACCAATTTCCACACAGGCAAGCCAATAACACAAATCTAATTCCTCAACCATAAAATTATACTCTACCCTAAAACCTAACCACTACCAACCATCTCCCCAATCAGCATCCTCATCTGTAGCTTTAGGCGCGGTATCAATTTTCTTAGGCACCGGTTTTGCTGCTATAGTTGATGATTTTTTCGTTGCCAGCGAACTAGAACTAGTCGTATTAGATCTTCCCGAAGAAGAAATAGGTCTCCCATTAGTAATTTTCGACGCTGGTTTTGCCAAGCCCTTAGGTAAAGATTTCTGAGCTGGTTTCTTTTGTTGAGCTGCTAGCCAGCCTGCGAAATCTGGTTCGCCGTTATCGTCAAAGGGGTTTGCGACGGTAGATTGTTTTGTAGTGGGTTTGGGGGTAGATTCACTAGGTGCGTCGAAGAAGGATTCTTCTTCCATGTCTCCCCATGCTTCCATATCATCTTCTCCTGCGTTTGCATCTTCGAAATAGGATTGACTAGCAGATGAGATATTTGTTGAAGCGACAGCTGGTGAAGTTACTGCTTGTCGATGTAATGCTGATGCAGATTGAGTGGAAGGGCGAGGTTCATTTTCTTGTCGTGCTGAGCTAGGCTGTGCATCTGGGGTTACGACAGCACTTGATGGCTGGATTTCGCCAGTAGCTGCGGCTATTTTATTGGTAAATGAAGAAATAGCCCAGCCTGTCCATGACGAACCAGCATCACTAGGTTGCGGCGTACTCATTCGAGGCGTAGATGAAGAAGCAGCTTCACCTGTGGTAGGCGGTGGTAAAGCAGTATCAGGCATTGAGGCAGCGGACTTGCGAATGCGTTGCAGATAAACATCCATGGTTTTATTTGTTTGTTCTCGAATGAGCTTCTCCTTGTCGATTAGACAAGGACATAAAGCTGGTAATATTCGATTAGCGCAGTCATCATCGTTGAATGAGTCGGCTGTGACAGATAATGCTAGCAAAGCTGCATTTCTAGCATGAACGAATGGATCACGGAGTGAGCGTGTGAAGGCGGCTATCAACACCTTAGATCTCGTGCTAACCCCTAGATTCTTGGCTATCTTTCCTAGACAGATCGTTGTGTTCGTTCTAATACCAGGTTGTTCATCATTGGAAGTTTTGGCTAAATATTTCAATAGTTCCCCATTGATAGTTCGGTCTGACAGTTTTCCAATAATTGTCAAGACTGCTTTGACTGTTTGTTCTCGTACTACTGGTGCAAGATCCGTAAAACCAGTGACCTACTACAATCAGCATATGTCTGAAATTAAAGATCAATCATTCTTACCATCTGAGGAAATATTTTATCATTCACCACTTTTTGTGGTAGTCGGTCAATCATAAGAGGAAGATTATCCAAAAGACAAACTCTAATAGCTCTGTCAGGACTACTAAATAGTCGCACCACAACAGGTGTGACCTTTGCTTCAAAATCATCATCTGTGAGCTTCGTGCTAATTTTCATAACAACAGTAAAGACTTTTGGTCCACCACCTCCAAATTCAACAGATTTTAGTAACTCAGGTAGAATCTTCATCTTGAAATAATCTTCTGGAAAGTCATTTGATAGCTCATCAAGATCACTTCATAGGTCAGCTTATTTATTGTAGATTTTTAGTAGGGAAATTACCTCAGGAACTCTTCTCGTTCAGTTTCCGTTTTCATCCCAAGATTATCTACCCCTTCAGTAAGCTTGATTAGAGGAGTCTCGAAGAATCCTCCACTTCTACGACCTTGCTCAAGGAAATGGCCAACACTAAGCCGAGCTTTGGGATTACTATTAATCAAACGTCGATAACTTGATTGCATGGATGGAGGTATATTCTTCGTCTGACCGGCTTGATCGCTTCCCGTGAAGTCTCCATTGAAGACTTCAAAAATCAATGTTCCATAATTATAAGAATCGGTCGCATAGATAGGGTGCTTCTTGATGGAATCCCAGCCAGAATTTGCCAATTCTGGAGGACTATATCGTCCGGAATCTGGTACAAGACTGCCATAGTTCTGCAAGATTTAGCTTTGGTTTTTTGTTTACCAGGAACAATCATTGCTCACGTATATGATCGCTTCAGTATCATTCATATTGCTTAATACTTCAAAGCCTCCAACTCTCCATTCTCCACTTTCACTTGTATAAATTGATCCTACTCGTAGCATTCCGTGAACGGATGAGGCTTCATCATTAATAAATTTGATTGTTTGCTATGTAACTCATTAGACTTGGTATCTGGAAATTAATATTCGCCAACTTACTGCTATGCTAAATAATCCCCATTTCAGAGTCTCCGGGCTCATGCTCTTTCTCTTGATATGCCATCTTAACGGAACCACTCTCTCAGTAGCAATATAAATATATGTATCCGTCTAACCCAGCACCAAAGGTCAGAAATTGCACACATAATTCGAGCTTCAGTAATTCATACCTCAACTGTATCCAGCACTTTGATTACCCCAGGATGTCGCAATGTTCGAAGCTTCTTAACAGCATTTTTGGCTAGAGGTAATCGAGATTTATTCGCGGGAACATCGAAGGAGAATATACTACAATTGGAACCGTCTTCCTAAAATGTCATTAGTTAGCTATTCTTTACCAAAATCATCTCCTCACCTACTCTTTTGGTGCCATTGTATAACTTCCATATGGACTGTTCTATATCAACTTGATCCCCGAATGTATAGGGAAATGGAGGACCCTTCGATATCGCAGAAGCGACTGCAGATTTTAAGAAATCCATGAATACCAAGCAATAAAACGGATGGTAAGAATACAATACTTTCGTAGTATTTACTTACTATTTGCGATAGAAGTAGACAGCTTTTGCCTATGAATTCAATGATTGACCCTCACCATACCCAGTCTTAGCTATGCTAAGGCGGTGTGGACTGGCATGATCAGCGGCCGCAAAAGCCTGTTCTGCCGTGCTTTCACTCCCTTAGTGGGTTGTGAGCTTCTTTTCCTGACATTAATCTTTTTATATAAAGTTTCTATAAAGATGTACAAAATATATGGCAAGAGGAGAAGTCGCTGTATTTTTATACTATATTCTCCAAAGGCCGCCATTTTTGCAATAATGAGCCTACTGGACAAATGCTATATGCTCGAGAATATTTTTACCTGACCCGAGTGCTACTGGCATGGTGTTTTGAATAAGGGGGAGGGGTAAGGAGATGCAATCAAATGTTTTCTTTTTCATTGCCTTTATTACTTTACGACTCGCGCTTTTCTGCATCAATATCTCCATCTTACCCTTGATCTCCTCATCCATTGCTTCACAGTGTGTCTTAATCCTTGCTATTTACTTTTCTCCTCATCGTCCTCTACGATTACTTGCTGGCTCATCTCTTGATTTCCTCCTGATTCACCCGATTCGCTTTCTTCTGCGTCTGCATTGGTCAATTCCCTTTCATCTTCACTATCATCTGTATTATATTCTGAGCTTATGTAACAAGCCATTTCGATCCTACACATGATGCCATCAGCCTTGAAGCAAGATGCACGAGAGATAAAACAAGACACAAACTCACCACTCATCTGCGGTCAAAGGATAAAAGCTCCCGATAAGCATTTCGAATGTCACAAGTCGAACATTCGACTTCGACTAGACCAGTTATTCTCTTTCGGTTAAGCTCATGAGTACTGGCCATTTCTCCGAAACGCTGCTCAGCAATATAAATTTTAGTCGTTCTAGTGGCTCCCACAAGACCTCGAAATTGTGCTTGCCAAATTTAAACAGGCGGTTTTCGTATGCTTCAGAAAAATAATGCCACAGTCAGCATCGACAAAAAACCCTTTAAACAAAGCTGGTTGGATATTCGGGCAATCAGGAATCATGATGGATCACTGACGTACAGAGACCTCCAAACGTGAGATCAATGGTGTTGGTGCGTGTTGAAATAGCCTTAATGCCTCTAGGGCTAGAGTATTCCTGATGACCATCAAACGCGACACATGCGCAGTCCATATCAAAGCCAGCTATAAGCACAGTGATCGATTGGTATAATCATAGGATAATTTGTTCAGCTGTGATAATGAAGTCAATGAGATTGCAATAGGTTCTATCGGCGGTTACAATAGAATTCAAGATTGTTCACTCTGCGCCTTTATTTCGATAGCCATTTTTCTCGCTTGTGGGCAGTGGATCTAGTGGTGTTGTCCACCATGAGCCGCCCAACACGGCTAATGGTTATTCATGCAGAGTCGAAGCACTCTCGTGCTTAAAGTGAATGACCGAATGAAGTACCTGCACCACTGAATCTCTCAGCAGTTGACCATGAGCCCCCGAGCCATCAAGACACTAGAAATTGATCATTTCGAAAACAGTTTCATATTTGCCGAGATCGAACCATTGCCTGATGACATTGATGTTATCCAGTGGTGTACTGTTCTAAAGTCATTGAATACTCCCTCTTGCAGAAATGGCTTTTCAATTGAGAAAATCACCACGACTCAGAGGCCTTACTACAAAGTCGGGACCAAATCCACCCTGTCAAATAGAAAATGCCATTTCGGCTGGTTGATTTTGGTCCAGGAATGAATGAACCTCCAATAAAGAAAGCAAACAAGGCCCGATTCTTGCCACAACTCAACGCCACGTGGATAGCCTCTGCCGCCCGGATGCTCCATCTTCACTCAGCAGGGAAAATCTCGACATGAAATAGTTTTTCCCCCACAATTTGCGATGCAATGCGGCTAGCCTGAAGGATCGGTATTTGATATCTTTGGGTTGAAACACTGTGCATAGTTCAAGATGACCAGTAAGAAAGATTATGTCAGATCAATTTAGCGGCAACATCTACAATAACTCTACATTGACTATAGCTGCTGCTGCGGGAGTAATCCGCTCCAGGGACCACATGAAATTAGTTCCCATGCTGGGTGCCGTATTGGAAAATACTGTATCGGGGACCCAGATCAAAGCATATTCTTGGCGCTTTCTCTTTTCTAACATCTCTATGCCAGTAAGTGCGAAAGAGCAAATGGTACACTCGCGGCAGGACATATCAAGAACAGTGTTTGTCACAACGTTGTATATACTTCTCAGACCGACGAAATTTTATTCCAATGCGCTTGCAATGCGCCGATTCCGGTGGAAGGGAGAGTATGTTTATGGCAAAAAACTACTACCATCTCAGGATCTTCAAATCTGGAACCGGGCCTCCCTGGTGGAGTAGGAGGCTCAGGAAGAACCGGCTTCTACCCCGCTTGCGAAGCAGGGTCGCTTCGGTGTTACGTGATGAGGATCTGGGACTTGTTATTCTTCTTTGACAATCGTTGATGATTTCCATCCCACGTTATCAGGTTATACTCTTTATTTCTCTAGTTATGTAATATTTATTTTTGCAAATTTTAAAACATTGATATCTTTTTATTTCACGGTCCCATATTCACACGGTTAGACCAAAATAGTCAACTATCGGAATTCGTGAACTTGAAGGAATCTGATAGTGTCAGATGAGTGTAATGTGGAATGAGATAATTGAGAGGACCAACTCATGTTAGGTAAAAGATTTGGATGATAATGACATTAAATGAGAGTTCTCAACTAAATTGAATTTTAAATGAAAATCATATCAGATTGTTAAAAGTACCTAGTAATGGTAGATGAAGATATAAGTCTAGTACCCTGCTTTCCGGCCACCTCTAATTCCGGCCATCTTTTTACACCAAAAATTATAATTTTCACTTATTAATAACTTTCCAATTAATATATATAATTCAATAAAATTGAAACGATGAGTTCATTATATAATTAAAAATATATTCTGAAAATTTCAGATTTTTCGCGATTTTATTGATTGAGATATTAAAGATTGAAATCTCAATTTTCAATTTGCATAGGATTTACTGTCACGATTCACCGTCACGTGGGACAAGTAGGGATCACGTGATGGTGCCTCCAGGAGCATAGGCTCCTCCAGGCTCCTGGAAAGGACCAGTATATAAACATTCATTATTCTCATAGTATAGGAGCTTCGTGCTCAACTTAGTTATCAATTAGTTACCTACATTCTACTTGATCTAGTAACGACTTCACTTCCAAGTGAATACCAGTGATATAGCCTTAATCCACAACTACCAACCAGACGAACCTCAGGCAGCCGCTGCCTCCAGTACAGTATCGTTACAGGTGGCCGGAAAGTAGGGTACTAGACTTATTAGATTAAATAGAAATGAGATTAGATGGAAATGAGATTATGATGGAAACGAGATTAAGCGAAAATGAATGAGATTAGATTAGATTGATGATCCAGGTCTGTGCTGTTCCGAGCTGGGGTCTGTAAAAACAAGCTTGCCTATATTTATTTTTGTTGGAAGTAAAGCAAGTATATGATGTCATTAGGTGGTAGAATCACTATAGACGAACTATGTAAAGCTGTGGAATAGACATTAGCGTATTCGCTAATGCCACCTCCATTTAACAACCAGCAAACAATATTTTCCACTCATTATACCCTCCTACGAAGGTAATAATTGCGTTTAATCGTCATCATATTCATCCACATCGTGAGACTTTTGATTTAAATCATCGCCTCTCCATCCATCATCCTAATCCTAAGAATTTTCTGCTTGGATCACTTTCATAACAAGTAGTTAGGATTAGATCATCTAATAATACAATGAAGTCAAGCATACCAATATCACCCAGCTCCTGCCACTTCTGAAGAATCTGAGCATTGTCCAGTTTCGCGAGAATTTGAACAGTGGCTGCCTCTTCTTTGGTAATGAGTGATAGAATCGATGTTAGGTCTAGGGTGATGTTATCCCATCGGCCTGAGGGTGCATTAGTATTGTGTTGTACGGAGTAGCGTGTACATGTGCAAACTTACTGAGTTCCTCTTGCATTTCAGTGATTGCAGGACCAATCTCATTGACCACTGCTTGAGAATTCTCAGTTATCACAGATGCTACAGGCTGGTATTTTGAAAATAAATATTAGCATGTTGAATATTAAGTAGTAAACAAACCAACATTCATTCACCAGTCCTCCTAAGCATCCAATTTCAGTCTTCTACATTAGCACTGAAGATCACGTACCGCATACATCAATTTCACCAGCGCATACTTCTCCGCAAACCCAGTAATATTAATAGTATTTGGATTACTGATCTTCTTCTGCTCATCAGCTGTAAACACACAGAATACATTCAGGTCAGCAACACTCTTGTTGATATTATCTATGCACGCAGGAAGACTCCTACTGATCCCCTGGAGTGAGTCCACGAGATAGTTTGCATTTTCTTTCATGCGGCTGCTGAGATCGACGCGTACGTCTACAATGGTGCGCAAGTTTTCGAGGTCAGCGGTGCTGTGCGTGTTGGTTGCGAGTATTGAGGCGCGGAGGGTGCCTAGGATATTAAGGACTTGTTCTGTGGGGAAAGGTGAAAGGGGTTAGTAGAGCTTGAAACTGGAGGTATAGTGGTACAAGGAGCTACTAGTGAATGAATTCATGAAGGAAGTGTACCATAGTGATCGTGTGCCTCAGTCGCGTAATTGTGGAAGAGCTCTCGTAGTCTTGCGTAGGTTGGGAATACATCTTTCTTTACAGAGATGAATATAGTTAGTTCGTGCAAAATAAGCTGCAAGATGGGTATACGGGTGGACTGGTAGATAGGCAGGAATTACCTCAAACTTCAAGCGCAGCTCGATAATCTACTTTGATGATTAACCTCAACGTTCTCCCTTACGTTGCACAGTTCTAGAAAATTGATAATATATAAGTGAGGTGATCTTACAGTTTTGTAATTGGCAAAAAGAGTCGTGGCAGCAGCAGGCGGGTAGTACGTTCTCGTTCCGCGAGGAAAGTACTGACTCCCGCCGCCGAAGGTGATGTAGGAGGTGAAATCCGGTGGGAGGTTGTAAGTGACCTCTTTAAAGCGTAGCATAGCTGTGGTGTCAATTCTCTGGGCCCAGTAACGCTTGGAAGCGTCGAAGAGCCCTACAGGCTGCAAAGTGATGTTACTCATGACGAGTTCGTAGTGTGGTAAGAAACAGAAATGGTGAAGAATGTCGTATGCTGGTTGATATTATCAAGATAGGCCATGCAAATGTTTCGTTTTTAACGTGCTGCTAAAGGAACAATATACAATCGTCGAAGAGTTGTCGCCAGGCTCATGCACCCCCACTGTTCTAAAGTATTTCTTACTCTAACTATGCTGTGTTCCTCGCTGTCTCTCCTATTGAAATCAGCCGATCTCAACCGCCTTCGAATCTTCAGCAAGATCGAGTGACGTTTTCTAATATTGCCCTCTAAATTTCCGAATATACGACTAACGCGGGCGTAGAGTATTCTTCCCTTATAGAGCAGGGGCTGTGGCTGCAAGATATTTTTCTTGGCTACAATAGGGAGCACAGTGGGTTGATCATGAACGAGAGATCCTTTGAGCTACGACATACAGCCATGGCTGCTACCACGGATAGAATCTTTCCGAAGTAATACAGCGTGTTTGCATTGGCAGAAGTCGCCACATTCAGCCTAACCGAAGCATACAGCGTAGATCAACATACTGCAATGCAGAAACTTACGACTTCGTTCGTAGTGTGGTTAGCAAGTCGCAAACTCCACTATCCAAGACTTTTGGCGAATTTAAAATAAGTATTAGATGATCAATGCTGTGCAGGTTTTCAGCTGCGGTGTAGTGCATAAAGAAGGATAAGCAAAATAGATTTATATCCTAAGGTAAAAGTTCTAAATTTACTCACTACACATTGAGTGAAATCTTATCAAAAATAACGATCTCTTATCTTTTTAAACCTCAATTTTATATGTATATGATATTAGAATAATTAAATGAATCTTAGATCTTTGTAAAGATTATTAATCAAACTTTAAAAAAAAAGTATTAATTATTAGATTTCAAGATTTCAATTATTTTATTTTAATATTGAAAAAGTTATTTGATATTTAATTTTATATAAGAAAATGAGATTCTGTTGACCTCCTGGGATCTTGGCAGCATATGCATGTATATTGCATGATGCATATAAGGAGCAAACAAAACTCAACTTTTAATTTATTCTTTCCTTTTTGGTATACTGTTTGTTTGCTTTCAATATTTTGATTTCAAAGCACTTTAATTCCGAAGGCTGATGACCTAACCTCATTCCTTCAATTTTTTTTGAATATATACTCGCAGCTTAACTGCTTAGCTAGAGAATCAATCAATTCAATCTGATGCTCTTTCTAGTCTCAATAAACCCAATAGATTCTGTAGAGATTCTGTAGAGATTTTGTTATGAATTCAAATAATATAAAATAATTAGATTCTAAAACTCTTATCTTATATATAAGAGATCAAAAGTGCAAAGTGCATTATGCATATATGTGAGTTGAGCAAGATAGTGGAACGGGTTTTACAGATTATGCAGGTGGTTTAAAGCAGCTAGTATGTGCAGGCAATGGTATGGCCTAGACGCGGGGTAGACGAGCCGGATAACTATCGTATTAATCACGTCACCCACATTTTAACCTCCACATGAATTGCATCCAGCTGAATCGCAGATTCGGATCGACCCGAGGTGCATCAATTCACGTAAGTCATTAAATTAGATATTGAAGGTGTTCCGATTTTGTCATGGGATTTTCGGCAGGGTAACATCGCTTCAATGCCCAACCACCCCTAAAGCTGCCCAATCACGTGATTTTCCTTTTCCTTTTCAATGAGACGAAAACGGGGGAGTACGGGGCAGCGAGAATATGGGCTGTTGGGTGGCTGCTAGAGAACATTACTTCTAGCTGATTGGTATGTTGCTAGAGCCTTGGTCGGTGAAAAGCTCAATTTCAAGTCATATTCACATGTTTTATTCACTTTGACATCAATTATGTTGGGAAAAGTAAGCCCTTTAAAGACCATTCTCTCGCTTCTCGTTGAATAGGACACAAATTCAATGGTTATGCAATGCTGACAGGATTGAGCAGATATAAAAACGCTACTAATAGTATATAAATCGATTTTGTTTCTAAGAGCTAGCGATTACACATACAAATCAATATATTAAATTAGACAAGGTAGAGAATATCATAACAAACTAATCAATCAGGGTTTTGAGAAATCAACGTAATAGTTAACTAAGTTTGTATATATAAAAATTCCTTCTCCAATGTTGAATGTTTCAGTCGACTAAATTCAATAAGTGAAATGAGCGTATAACTTAGTTAAGCATCGAATAGTGGACCGGGGGCATCTCTGGTCAAATACTTTAAAGTAAATGTGCAAATCCAATTTTTCCTAGCCTAATAAATACTAAAATGTATTTTGTCACTCCAGCGATCAAGCTTTAGCCCCGTTAATTGGCTTTGATGACGGCCGAAAGATTGTCCGCATACGAGTTGAGTGTCATTTGCTCGGGTTCGGTAACATACGCTATGTTAAGATAGTTGTCAACTATGTAGAGGGTGTCCATCGTCAGCCATATGGATATTGATATGGACAGAATAACAATTTCTCCAATACATACCCTTCGTGTAGATGTTGTTCCACTTAGTGATGATACTATTCTGGTTGATTTTCTGTACCACTGCAGATCCAACTGCCGACTTGTCCTGGGTCCAGTCTCTAACAGCCTGGAGATCCAGACCGATGTTGTGCCATACTGACGTCATTCCCTCGATGGCTTGAATTGCGGGGCCGATCTTACTGATCAAGGTTTCTAGATCTGTCTAGACGGCACGAATAGGTAGTCAGTAATGCAGATAGACATGAGAAATAGACGGCGGAAATTGAGAAAAAGATTGCTGAAGGGAACATAGGACTACCTGCCTTTATGAGAGTCAAATCAGCGACCAATATTTTGTCGGCTTTGATTTGGTCGTCTTCATCAGTGAGAAGTCCTTTGAGACCATTGATTGTTGCTTGCATTTCGACGGCTCTAGAACCGTAAACACCCATGATAGTAGCAGCTACAATGGTTCCAATTGGCCAGCTGTGTTATCAAATTAGCCGGTGGTTCACGAAAAGACTAAAGATGCGTTACGGAAACGACAGAGCTTACCACCAAGCATAAGTAACCGCCGTTGCAGCAATAGTAACGTCTGATCTCATTAGTAAATTCTAGATTCTTGATTTTTGGCATTTAAAGAAGATTGGAAAGATTGAATGAACATGTGAATACCTTCGTCGTATTCATCTTGGTCCTTGCTCAGCTCAGCTTTGTTGGCCTTGATTGCTGCCTCGAGCTTCACAATGTCTCCACTATCTCCTGAAAGCGCATCAGTGATAATTTTGTCCTGGCCATCGAGAGCGAGTTTGTCCGCCTGGCATTGCTCTTCAAATGTACGCAAATCGCTCACGGCCTTCTGAGCACTCTGATTCAACGCTTCTATGGCTGCGACCTGCGCATCCACGAGCTCCTTGACTGTTTCACGGGCATCATCGATGGTCGAATTGTCTCTCTGAGCCTCCGGTTTTTTCAATTCGTCACAAAGCGTTTTCCAAGCAGCAATAATGTTGGCGTAGTATGACCCATCTTCTTTGCCGCCTGCTGTCTCTGCATATTCTTTTACAGAATGGCTCAAG